GGGGGTGGGGACCAATATTTTTGTGGAACTGTTTGAGTGTACATCGCGGAACAGCCAAAAAATACACGTGGAGTCACGATTATACTGTTGAGTATTCGAGATACAGTGTCTTAACGTATGCACTTCGTGTCCATACGTAATGTGGCTTGTTTTGGCAGCATGCATGCAACGCTGTCGACAAACTCGGAAGGAAATGCCAAAATCCCACACCACCACCACTGATGGTTTGCAACACAGAACATTCGCGAGATTCGCGAAAACTGGTTTCTTGCCTTGGTTACCGCACCACCACACCCGTAGTCCTCCCATTGGCTCCCAGGAGCACCCCATAATACACCCTTATTCTTCAGTCTTCTCACCGACGGAAGCAGTGGCTACAGTGTTTGGACGTAGCGGGCTGGTGAGATAACTCGGTTGCGGGCCGAGTCTCACGAGACGACACGAAACCAGACTTGGGCCGTAAAATTCCGTTAACGCGAATAACTGTTTTAACCGTTTAGAAAACAGCAGTACCATTGTAGAACGTATAGAACCTTGACTAAACTTCCTGGCTCAAACTGTCAGTATAACGCATGTGATAGGACCTTCTTGGTCCGCTGCGGCTACACTAAGCGTCTCGGTCAGTATAACATATGCCAGTCTAACGAGAATGAGGGTGTAGTTGACCCCCCCAACCCAACCGCAACCCCAACCTCTCCTTTTCGGCGAGTGGGCGCTGCTGGTTCTTGAGGGGTTGGCGCACATGAGCGAGGTGGACGTACAGAACTGTAGCTGCGTTGAAGAATTGGGCAGCATAGGGCAGACCAGAAACTCCGTAAACCGAGGCTTGTTGCTACAGTAGTACCTGGCGAGGTCAAGAGCACCAACCGTAACCGAGTTTACGGTCTGATGTGTACTTGCTGGCGGTAAACCAACCAACATGTTTTCACATCACAGTACTGTACAGGCGTACGCAATCAGCCTCCTCATCGACATGAGTCAAGCATGGGATTATTTCCTTCGCACTTTCACCCGCACTGGTCCTTACACACGCCCCTTCTAGTTTTAAAGCTTCCTTTCCCCCACCCCGTACCCACGACGGCTCGACGGGCTTCGACTCAAAGTCTGAGTGAAAGTTGGATTCAGGTCGGACGTCCTTGTCTAAGTTTCGAGTAAAAGTAGGTTTTCCGTCACGTTCGCGCCGCGCTTCTAGCAATCTCTCCGGTCCAGGCACAAAAAATTGGCGCGAAACAAGCTTCCCCAACCATGGCCGCAGTTTCCCCGCCGCATTCATCGGCAAAGGCACCGTCTTCCCAGACCTCTCGCGATCTAACGGCCAAGCCGCGGCGCCCATCGTCCCCGCGCAACGGAGGATCTTCCTCATCCGACTCTGCCCCTCCTCGCCTTACGATCTTCGACGGGAAGCAAATCCGACGGCGGATGCACGACGACGCGGCATTCACGGCGTTCCTCTCGCACGAGTTCGACCGCCTCGACGCCGACGGTAACGGCGCGCTCTCGCTGGGCGAGTTAAAGCCGGCGCTACTGCGGCTCGGGGAGCTATTAGGGATGCCGCCGGCCGGGACGGCACGCGAGGTTGACGAGCTGGTGGAGGGTCTTTTCGCGTCGTTCATGTCGCCGGATCTCACGGAGGAGATTGGGCGGGATTCGTTTGTCCGGGTTTGCAAGGATATTCTTAGCGGCGCGAGCCACGCGTTAGAAGGTACGTGCAAGTAAACATCCTACATAGGACGTGCGACTCGGAATTCAGCTCCCCCTCATTCTTCCCCCCTTCCCCTCATTCTTCCCCCCTCCCCCTCATTCTTTCCCCCTCCCCTCTCATTCTTTCCCCCTCCCCCTCATTCTTTCCCCCCCCCCCTCTCCCCCTCATTCCTTCCCCCATTCCCCTCTCCGATCCCCAAGAGGACCCGCTATCCACGCTGGTCTACGACGGGGGGCGCGCTGCGGAGAATACTGGGCAGCGCGGAGGAGGCGGAGGCGCTGATTTCGGCGCTGTTCGCGGAGCTGGATACGGACGGCAGCGGGTGCATCAGCAAGAGCGAGCTGCGCCCCGCGCTCGTGCGGTTGGGGCTTCACGGGGGCGACAGCACCACGGCCGAAGGTGAGACCTGCTCGTGCCTCTCGTGCCGTCCCTGCCGTTCGTGCTGAGCTCCCTAAATTCTGGATCGAGGGGCATGTGCGATGGGGGCTGGTGCGGGGCGGCTGCGCGGAAAGGATTCGGGAGGGGCTTTGCGGGACGGTGCGGGAATCAGTAAGCGGGGAAATGACTTTCAATTCTCCTTAGCCGGAATCAGTAAGCGGGGAAACCTCTTCATTTCTCCTTAGCCGCATTCTACATGAGAGCTACACAGCGAAAGAATTCGCAAAAGAAGAAGCAGGAAAAAGAAGAAGCAGGAAAAAGAAGCCAAGCGCATAAGTTTGGTTAGATCCAAGCCCTTTTCGTTCCCCCCCCTTATGCGCGCGAGCACACAGAGCAGGTGTTAGAGCGCATTATCGACCACTGCTGCGCGGGCGCGCATCCCCTGTGATCACGCCCCCCATCGCCCCTCCTCTTCCGCTCCCCATCGCCCTCCTTCCCCCTCCCCCCATCAGCGCGCGAGCACCAGGAGCAGGTGCTGGAGCGAATCATCGACCGGTACTGTCTGGACGGCGACGGGGAGCTGTGCCGCGACGAGTTCTCGGCGCTGCTGCTGGACGTCTTTAAAGACCTCTCCTCCGAGCTCGAGGCCGCGCCGCTGTACCTGCCGCAGCGCGCCACCGTGCTCAACGGCGCGTACATAAAAAAGGTGCGCGATCTACGCACCGCATTGCACCGCATTGCTCTGCCCTGCCTGCTCTCAATCCCCTACCTCCCGTCCCCTTCCTCCCCACCTAAATGCACACACCTCTCTCAATCCCTCTGCCCTCCTTGCCCCTCACCTTCCTCGCCTGCCTATCCTCCCCCTCGCCCTATCCCCTCTGCCCTGTCCCCCCTCCCTGCCTCCAGATTCTGAGCAACGACGACTTTTTCACAGCAGTATCGGACGCCATGTCTAAATTTGAAGAGTGGGACGTCAACCCCCCTTACCCCCCCTCTCCCCCCTGCCCCCTCTGTACCCCGCCGTGCAGATTCTGAGTGACGACGAGTTTTTCACGGCGGTGGCGGACGCCATGTTCAACGACTGGGACGTCTCCCGCAGCGGCTTCTTGTTTCCCCCCCCCCACTGTCAGGTCAACCCCCTTCCCCCTGCCCCCCGCCCTCGCCCCCTCCCCCTGCCTCTAGATCCTAAGCGGCGACGAGTTTTTCACGGCGGTGGCGGACGCCATGTTCAACGAGTGGGACGGGGCGGAGAAGGGCTACCTCGTGTGCACTGACGCCATAGCTGGCTTCCGCAAGCTCGGCCTCGCCTACGGCCTCCCCCCGCCCCTATGCACTCTGTCACCTTCATATCCTCCCCTCTCCCACTGACCCCTGCCAGATCCTGAACGACGACGAGTTCTTCACGGCGGTATCGGACTCTATGTTCGAGGAATGGGACGTCTCCCACAAGGGCTACCTCGTGTGCACTGACGCCATAGCCGGCTTCCGCAAGCTCGGCCTTGCCTACGGGCTCCCTCCGCCCGACGCCGCGGAAGCAGACAAGGTTTACACGTCGCTCTTCCTCTCCGCGGACGTGAATCTGGACGGGTTTGTGGACAAGGGGGAGTTCCGCACGCTGCTGCGCTCGCTCTTCATCGGCATGCAGCTGCAGCTGGAAGAGACGCCGCTCGTGCTCGAATCGTCCGTGGAACCCAAGGGGGAGTCTAGATCCGACGGTACAGAATCCGTTTTCGACGGGCCGAAGCTGCTCGCGTTGCTGCGCGAGGAGGGCGGCGGGCAGCGCGTGCGGAGATTTTTGGAGGAGAAGTTTCAAGAGATGGATAAGGACGGGCGGGGGCGGGTTCCGCGCGAGGCGGTGCGCGCGGTGGTGGCGCACGTGGAGCAGACGAGCGCGCTGCCGTCGCCGCGGCGGACGTCTTTTCAGGCGCCTCAAAAGCGCGCGGAGCAGACGAGCGGGCTGCCGTCGCCCAGACGGACGTTCTCCGCGGGGAGCCCGGGGGTGGGGGGAAGACGAGGGGAACGGGAATCCCAAGCGTTGTTAGAATCGGCGCGCAGACGAGGGAATATAGCGCCTGCTGGGATTGCTGCTGGGAATGCTGCGGGGGACGCGGGGAGTGGTGATTGGGAGAGCGCGGAGCAGGAGGTGGCGTGCGAGGAGTTTGTGGATGCCATGATGCGCGTGCTGCAGCGCATGGGGGACGCCGTGCATGGTGCGTGCGGGTTCAAGGGATGGACGAGTGAGTGTATGGTGCGTGCGCGAGAGGAGAAGAGGACGTGTGCGTGGGTGTGAGGTTGGGTGGGTGGGAAGGCGGGTGTGTGGGTGGGCGTGAGCGTGTGATTGGGGAGCTCGTGGGGGCCACATGCGCGTGCTGCAGCGCATGGGTGGATGGTTGGGTGGGTCGGTGAGTGGTCCATGGCCCATTCCCTGCCGCATCCCCTTCCCCCTTCCCGCGTGCCCATTTCCCCCTTCCCGCATGCCCATCTCCCCCTTCCCGCGTGCCCATTTCCCCCTTCCCGCATGCCCATCTCCCCCTTCCCTTGTCACCATTCCCCTGATGTGCGCGTCCCACCCCACCCCCTCCCGTGTGCCTTAGGCAGCCCTATCCCGTGGCAGCACTTCTTGGCGGACTTCCCCCGCCACCCCTTCCCGTGTGCCTCATTCTCCGCCACCCCTCCTCCCCTGCCACCCATCCCCCGCACTCCAGACGACCCTATACTGCAGTTCATGGCGGACGGGGCGAAGATGCAGCAGCTGATGGAGGAGGAGGGGGAGCTGGCGGGTGGGCGGGTGGATGGATGGGTGGGTGGCCTTCCGTCACGTGTGCTCATTCCCTGCCTGCCCCGTTTCCCTACCATGTGCCTTTGCATGCACTCCAGACGACCCCGTACTGCAGTTCATGGCGGACGGGGCGAAGATGCAGCGGCTGATGGAGGAGGAGGGCGAGCTGGCAACGCTCATCGACATTCTCTTCAGCAGCCTCGACACCGACGGCAGCGGCACCATCTCCTACTGCGAGCTCAAGCCCGCGCTCTCCACCATGGTGCAGAACATGGGACTACACACGCTCTGCCGTGAGTGCCATCTCTCAGTTTATGTCCGCATTAGTGGCGGGTAGGTAGCGGCGGGTAGTGAGCTGAAAGCAGCGCTCTCCACCACGGTGCAGAACATGGGACTGCACACCCTCTGTTGCGAGTAAATTGCAGTCACGTGCTATTGCGTGTAGAGTGGTTGCATGTAGTGGTTGCTAGAGAGCTCAAACCAACCCTTTCCACCATGGTGCAGAGCATGGGCCTGCACACCCTCTTCCATGAGTGCATTGCAGCTTCACTGGTAGACCTCCTCCTCTCTGCCTCCCACCCCACCCCTCACCACCGCGCATCACCCCTCCTCTCTCTATATCGCTCGTTCTCTCTATACTGGGCAGGGAGCGCGTCAACAGAGAGGGTGGTGGCACAGCTGGTGATGACGCACGGCAAGGGCCGTCTGGACCTTTCCCTTTCCACTGCACCCCTCTCCACCACACATCACCACTCCTTCTCTGTCTCTTGTTCTCTTTCTGCGGTGCAGGGAGTGCATCAACGGAGAGTGTGGTGGCGCAGCTGGTGATGACGCACGGCAAGGGCCGTCTGGACCTCTCCCGAGACCAGTTCACTGCCTTCATGCGCGTGCGTGCTGCTGTTTGGAGGGGAGGGGAGGAGGGTTGGGGCTTGCATGTGGGGGGGCTTGTGTGGGGAAGGCTGGGTCCTCTAGACCTCTCACGAGACCAGTTCACCTCCTTCATGCGCGTGCGTGCTGCTGTTTGGAGGGGGGTTGGGTTGTATGTGGGGGGCTTGTATGTGGGGGGCTTGTATGTGGGGAGGGTTTGTGTGAGGAAGGCTGGGGCGTCTGGACCTCTCACGAGACCAGTTCACCTCCTTCATGCACGTGCGTGCTTGTATGGGGGGAGGGCGTATATGGGGAAGGCTTGTATGAGGGGGGCTTGTGTGGGGAAGGCTGGGCCATATGGACCTCTCACGAGACCAGTTCACTGCCTTCATGCGTGTGTGTGCTTGTAGTGGGGGAGGCTTGTCTGAGGGAGGTTTGTGTGGGGTAGGTAGGGCTGTGTGGAGGAGGTTTTATACTGAGATATTCCACATCCCCTGTATCTCCACCCCATCTTGGCGTACCCATGCCCCTCCTCCCCTCCCAGACACCTCTTTCCACCCTCCTCCATTGCCCTCCCGCTCCCTCACTCACTGCATCCCCTCCTTGATCCCCCTCCCTCGCACCCTCTGCAGGCCACTGGCGGGAAGACTGGCAGTCAGACTGGCAGTCAAGCCAGTCAAGCAGGTGATTGAAATGATTCTTTAGTTGACCCATTTGGTCTCCTTTGTCCCCCTCGCCCCTCACCCCCCTGCAGGCCACGATGTGTGACCTGGCGGGCAGGCTGGCAGTCAAGCCGGTCAAGCCAGTCAAGCCAGTCAAGCCGGTCAAGCCAGTCAAGCCAGTGATTGAGGTGATTTTTTAGTCGACTCACAAGCCTCCTGTGTCCTCCTCCCCCTTCACGCGTTCACCCGCTGCAGGCCACGGTGTCTGATCTGGCGGGCAGGCTGGCAGCGAAGCCGGAGGAGGAGGAGGAAGGGCAGGTGCTGGACGGCAGTAAACTGCGCCAGGTGCGGTGTGGGGGAAAGTGGTTGGGCGGGGGAGGGCAGTGAGGTGACAGGTGAAGTGCAGGATGCGAGGACGAGGAAGGGCAGGTGCTGCACTGCAGTAAATTGCGCCAGGTGGGTGGGGAAAGGGGAGGGGAGGGGAGGGGAGGGGAGGGGAGGGGAGGGGAGGGGAGGGGAGGGGAGGGGAGGGGAGGGGAGGGGAGGGGAGGGGGTGAGGTGGGGCAGGGTACTGGCACGGATGAACAGGTGATGTGCAGGATGCGAGGAGGAGGAAGGGCAGGTGCTGCACGGCAGCAAGCTGCACCAGGTGCAATGGGTGAGAGGGGAGGGGAGGGCAAGGGAGGGGAGGGGAGGGGAGAAGCGAGAGCATGGGGAGGGCTGTAGAGGGTGGCACGCTGCTAGAACGAGCACCCACAGGTCAGACAAACTTCCACTCCCCTTTTCTGCAATCTTCCAGCAATACCCATTGCTCTGCTCCTCACCCCCACAACATCCCCCCGCTCCCCTCTCCCTTTCCCCCTTCTCCCCTCTTTCTCCCTCCCTCTCAACCCTCACCCTTCCCCCCCTCGCCCTCTCCCCTCTCCCCCCCTCTTCACCCTCAAATCCCGGGACACCGGTGGCTCTTCCAGAAGATCTGTGAAGAAACCTTCACCGCATGGGCCCTGTCCAGGAAGCATCACCTCTTACCCACTCACCACCCCTTTCACTCCCCGCTGCCCTCCCCTCCCACCTCTCCCCCCTTGAGATCCTCGGGGACAGGCGGCTCTTCCAGAAGATCTGGGAGAACACCTTCACCTCCTGGGACGTGTCCTGGAAGCGCTGCCTCTCCCCCTCTTCCCACTCCCTCTCAATCCACACCCTTTCCCCCCTCTCCTGCTCTCCCCTCCCACCTCTCCCCCCATCAGATCTTGGGCGACCGGCGGCTCTTCCAGAAGATCTGTGAGGACACCTTTACCTCGTGGGACGTGTCAAGAAAGCGCTGCCTGTCACGGGCGGACATCAGTGCAGGGCTGGCGCGGTCCGGCATGATGTGGGGCTGCCCCCCCACAACGCACGCAACGCCGAGGAGGTGTACGACAGATTCTTTCTCAAGGCTGATCTTGACCGGTCGGGGTCGGTGGAGCGAGCCGAGTTTAATGTGTTTCTGAGAGGCGTGTTCCGATCCATGGCTGAGGAGTTGGAGAAGAATCCTCTTGTGGTGCATACATCCAAGGTTCGGCCACCCAATGCTGGCTCGTTGTGAAGGAAATGTATAGAATGCTGTTGCTTTTTACACATCCTCCACCTGACATAACACAGGCTATTATCAGTATGTATTGTAGATGTTCTTATGTGTATAATAAAAAGGCGTGTACTATCAATATTCACCTGAGCAAAGCAGTCAATTCACTACCATATATGAGCAGCACTGATACTGTAAGGGACACTGTAATTGACACAGTGAAAGGGGAATGGACAGCTGTGCGTCAACATGTCTGAAACTGGTGCCACCAGCCAGCCATCGGTTCATATCCCAGCGAAAATCATGGTAACTACCGGTAAACAGTTCCACTGAGGCCGATCAGATGCCACAAAGCCTGGATTCTTCTGCCTGACCGCCTCCCTCTGCCTGCCTGTATGCCTGCCTGTCTGCTGCCTGCCTGTCATGTCTTGGCTGCACTGCACGCAAGTGACAAAACTGCAGCCCATCAGCTCGGCTGCCGTGACCCACCCACCTTACTCCATGACCCCTCAAGCATGCTGCACTATGCCCGTGATCAATCAGCTTCCTACCGCATCACCCTAAGCTCTTACTCTCGTGCTGCTTCACCTGCTGCTGCTTCTGCTGCTACTGCTGGGCGCTACAAGTGCGGCTCCGAACCACCATCGGAGTTGCCAAGGTGCTGCCAATCAGCTGCTGCCACGTGCACCAGGCGAGACGCCATGCTAAACAGTGCAAAGCTATCCTGGGTTAGACGCCGATGCCACATGACCCTGTGCCACCACCACACCCTCCTCCCCTGCCCCTTCCTCCACACGCGCCCCTTCCCCTGCCCTCCCCTCCTCGCCGCTCCCCTCCAGCCTCCGCATCTCCCCACCACCACCATCTTCCGCATTCCCCTCCTGCCTCGCACCCCCCCCAGCCTCCCCGCCATCCTCGTCCCGCAGAACACGAGCAGGGGGCGTCATGGCAGCGGCGCTGAGCAGCGAGAGCTCGTGCAGTTCGTTGAGCACCCACTCCTTGCCCGTCTGCCCGCCCAGCACCACGGCCTTCGTTCCCCCCACCACGCACGTGCTGTGCCCCCACGCTATCCGCGGCTGCTGCCCCGGAAACGCCAGCTCCCGCCACCGCGGCTTCTCTTCCCCCGGGTCGAGCAGGTATACCTGGGACAGGGTAGGACTCACCCCCGCAATTGATCCCCCGAACACTAATACGCGCCCCCCGGGCAGCGCAAACGCAACGTGGTCCAGCCTGGGCGGGGGCGACGCTCCCCCTGGCGTTCCGCCGGTGCCCCCCCGCCCCCTGCCCCACTGCCGTTCGCCCGCCACCTCCCCCCGGGAGAGGCGCGTCGGGGGAGACGGTCTGCCAGTTGGGGTGCTCGTCGGCAAGATCGATGGTGAACGCGTCGTTCGACCGCAGGCGCAGCGCGCCGCTCGTCGCCAGCCCCCCGAACATGAGCACCTTGCGCCCGCCCAGCGCGGAGAGCGTGTGCCCCAGGCGCGCGGGCGGCGCCCACGCCACGCGGATCTCCTTCCACGACGGCGGGTTGTGCGCGAGATCGAGAAGGAAGGTGTCGGAGAGCAGGCGACCGGACGCGGTACAGCCGCCGGACACGACAAGCTTGGACCCCTCGACGGTGCATGAGCTGTGCCACGACCGCGGGTGCGGCCGCTGCGGGGGTGCGGCCGGCGCGGGCGCTGCTCGCGCGACTGCCTGCAGCTGCTGCTGCCGGCGTTGGTGCGGCTCCTGCTCCTGCTGCTGCTGGTGTTGTTGCTGTTGGTGCTGATGCTGTCTGTCGTCCTGCTGCTGATCATCTTGTCTCGTATCCAACGGCTGGGTCGCCGCCTCTCCCTGTTCCCGCCTCACAACTCCCTCTCCATCCTCTGCTGCTTCCGCAGCTGCCCGCGCGTCTCCACCGCTTCTCAACACCAACCCATCCCCCAGGACAGCATTCCCCCTCGCGCTACCCCTGCCCTCCCCACCAGTCCCCCCGTCCCCAGCGCCAGCACCACTGCTACTCCCGGCATCCTCCCCCACCACGACCTCCCGCCACTTGGGCTGCTTGTCGTCCAGGTCCAACAGAAACGCGTCGTTCAGCAATCCCTCGCGCCCGCACCCGCCGAACACCACCAGCCCCGACCCGTTGACGCACGACAGCGTGTGCCCCCAGCGCCGGGGGGCGCGGAACCCGCGACGGGGACGTGCCGCCACTCGGGCATGTCGGACGCGAGATCGAGAACGAAGGTGTCGTTAAGGGGCTGCATGTTTGCGCCCTCCCCGCCGAACAGAACCACCTTGCTGCCCACGGCGCACGCGCTGAAATTGCACCGCGACGGCTCCACCGACCCTTTTACCGTGACCTTGCGCCACGTGGCGGCTTCCAGCGTCGTCATTTCGCGCGCAATCTGCGCCCACTTGACCCGCTGCAGCCACTGCGACTTCTGATGGTTCTCTATCAGCTGCCGCTGCTGCTGCTGCCCCACAACCGTACTCAACCGCTTCCCACCCGCCCCTTCTAACCCTACTCCCCTACCAACCGCTCCTTCGAATACAACCTTACTCTTCCCGTGCCACGCATACCGCCCTCGTCGCACCACCTCCTCCGCCGCCTCCTCCTCCTCCGTCTTCCACCCCACCGTCGCCTGCGCCTGCACCGCCGCGGTCGCCTCCGCGCCCCACACGTGCTGGCACGCGCGCTGCCACACGTCCTGGCTGACCGCGAGCTGGCGGAACCGCCGACACGACATGGCGAGCGACGCGATGTCTCTGGGACCCAGGTGGCACATTACTCGCTGCACTAGCACCTCGTCGCTTACTTGCAACAGCCCGCTACACCCCCCGCTCCCGCTACCGCTGCCCCTGCTCCTACCGCAGTCGCTGCTACTGGGGTAGCTCCGCCCTGGCCCTATACATCCCCCGCCGCCCTCCCCTTCCCGCGCGCATTTCCGCCCGAACCCTGGGAACGGCGCGTGGTCATGCAGGCAGCACGCGGGCCACGCGCTGCTGCTGCTGCTACAGCCAGGGGCAGAAGCACTCGTGCTGGGCACGGCGACGGGCGAGGCGTCGTTGGGATCCGCGCGGCTAGAAGAGCCGACAACTGAACCGGCTGGCAACCGGTCGGAGAGCGGTCCGGGCTGTCTAGAGGGTGGCCACCGAGATGCAACCACAGCGGCTGCGGCGGCGGCGGCGGCTGAGGCTGCCGCCCCCGACATAGGCAGATGCTGCGGCTCCTTGTGCGGCGGGCCTGGCAACGGGCCGAGCTCGACGTTGGTTTCTGCGAAAGACTGCACCCCAACGAAATGGGTAACTGTGCTAGTGTCGCTTCCGCGAATCGGCGCGATGCAGAGGGTATTCATGATGGCGCTACCGTCCTTGCGGAAATTGAGGATCTCCCCGCAGAACTCACGGCCTTCTGCGATGCACTGGCGTAACCTCGCGACGGTGGCGGGATTCACGAGAGAGTGCGGCCGCTGCGCGAATGCCCCGCGATACTGAAGGAACCGACTGCGCGACAGACGAACAAAAAAAAAGGAGTTCAGAAGGACGTGGATTTGTGGTGACGGAAGGGAAAAACGAGCGACGGAAACACGAAAAGAGACACCGCGATGAACGAGATGTTTAAGAATGCCAGTAAACGTCAGCATGCGCGTACCAATTCCGTCCAAGAATATCTTCCGCCGTGTAACCCGTCAGGCGCTCGAACACACTATTCACATAGATGATAGGATGGTCCGGTTCTAACGCGTCTGACACTATCAGCCCGCACGGCTTCGTCGCCATAAGGCCCTCAATCGTCCGTCTACTCTCGTCGCTAACTCCTCGCAGGAATGACGGCAACAATCTCACTACGTCTAAGTCACTATTGACGTCCCCTGTTGCTGCTACACCGTCCTTGCTAATGCTGCTGCCAGCACCCCCGATTCCGATAGGTCCGAAGCCGCTCATCCCGGACTCGTCGTCTGAATCGCTCGACCACTCCATTGCCGTGAGTTGCTAACACTAAAGTCAGGACAACTACCCGCTTTCAACCACGCTATTAAAAAATGCTGCGTGTAAATAGCTGACAGATTCTTACCACTACTCGGGACCCTGACGAGTAGACGTATCTGTCGCTGATTGCTGAGAGGTGGAGATTTCACGATACAGATCAAGCGCAACCAGTTTCAAGCTGCCAAAAGCACAGCAACTAGCGTCCGAGGCTTCAGACTACGATGAATCGAGCCGACCTGGATCGAAATGGCGTAAAATCTCGGCCCAGAACAACTTAAGCTTGAATCTAAGTAGGCGGTGGCCAACCATGGAGCCTAGGTGCGGCATCTACGGTGAAACAATAAGAACCTGCTAGCACTAGGGTAAACGCCCGCAAGAATATCCCCGATAAATCTCACGGATGTAATCATGGCCTGTTAGTAAGGAGTTATGAGATTACTGGGACCAATAGCTACTTGACAAGAACTGGAGACATGAGACTACGGATGAGGGTTTGCTCTAGGAACTCGCTGATAAGGAAGCATTCCCTAGACAACTGCTGATGAGAGCAAGTCACTGTTCACAGGAAATGCTGATGATGAACTCTCTAGAAGGGAAGAGAAGAGAAGCGAAGAGAAGCAGAATGGTGACGGCGAGCTGGTGTGGTTCCCGCATGGTGGATGGATGAAACCCTAGCTCTGTCCACTCCTGAACCTGCATTTCCGTCACGTCAGCCTCTGACAGACTTTCCCTCTTGCCCACGCTTCTTGGTGCAGAACTCTGGTGTCCAGCCGCTAACGGAAGCATCTCGGCCATTCATTTCGAATGCCACGGACACATGAACCATGACATAGGAGCTGCCCGTTATCCCTTTGGATATTTCCTTTGCAGCTCCACAGCCACCAACAGCACTCGAAAAGTCCCAGATATTTTATAAAAAAGTGCAGATATTTTCTTCCTGTCGGCTGCTCGCTGTGCACATGCAACTCCTTTAGCATCACCGCTCTGTAGTAGCACAACCTGGCTTTCCTAGCCCAGCTTTTCCGCGTGCAGGAGTTGAACAGTTGAACAGCCGGGACAACTTCCCGCAGCCAGGAGCATAAATTCATCCATTTGGCATTCGTGGCTGGTGATGATGGAAGAGCTCCTTCAAGCCACAAAACGATCCAGACGCATTTTAAATATCCTAGTTGTGGCGGAGAGGCAATCTGTTTGGCCGCAAGATAGAGAGATAAAGATACTTCTTGGGGTTTGGGGCACACAAGCTCGTTAGATATTTTACGTCCCGTTCAAAAGGTTGACATGCATTCCATCCACGTGTCATGCAGCAGTCACATTGAGTGGGTTTGATCATAAGCAATTTTCTACCCGTTTGATCGGGCTTCGCAGCCACCTTTCCACTTCAGATAGCAATGTATTGAAGCAAACAACAAAGTTAGTGCTGCATAATATATAGTTTATTCGATATAATGGTTGGGGCGGGACCTTTTCGTTGTATGCTTTTAGTGCTGACCATAAATTTCCTTGGTTTGGTGGAGGTTGGGGTAAGTCAGGGAACGTTAGCCTCCACGTCACACGCAGCCCAGAGAATGGCTAAGCCCAGTTGTCCGCATTGCGTCCATTGCTTCATTCCACGTGTCAGCGAAAGACAACCTCCCCGAACAAAAAAAGCTCCCACTTTTTCCAACGTCCAGGAGATACAGATCCGTGGGTTCAGATATTTCTTTTGTAGGGGGGCAGCCACCGGAAGCTGAGGGTTTCTCTGTCGCGTTGCTGTCAGACTCCCCCACGCGAGAGGTCTGCCTTCCTGTGAACCACTCTCCCGTGCGTATTGGATCTTCCATCTCCTTCCCTGCCCGTCTTCTTTCCTCATCCCCCACTCAACCTCCGTCCCCCACATCTCCTCTCTACGGGTCTGCTCTAATCTTAGCTCCAGTAGATCACTCTCACACTTGCCAGCGTTCCATTCACAGCTTTGAACTGCGTTCTTGTTGATAGTAAGCTCTGCGTATCTGCTTAGCCTGCACCAGCTGTTATAGTATCAAGGCAGTGTAGAATGGTACGGATATATTTCGTTACAAACTGTTCGTCATAACGCGTGACTTTACTAGAATAGTATTTATCAGAACGCACCAAATTCATGTCAGGAGCCATCGTGCCATCGGCCGGCCAGGAGCAGCGCCGGCCATGCGACGTAGCGACGTTTCAGAGGAGCAACGTGCACATCCTGCTGTCGGATAAGGACACGGAGTCACGTCAAAATGTTCTCGAGCTGCTTCGCCGCTGTTCGTACCGAGGTGCGTCAGCGCCGCCGCTTCCGCCTTGCGACAGATTCCTTTGATCGATTTTCTTATATATTATTTCGTTCTCACACGTTTTCAGACGTTTTCACGTAGAAAATACGTCTTAATTCGTCACCTTGAGTCCCCTTCCGTCGATTCACGACATGCCACGTACCAAGTTATGTGCCTGCTTCGATCAACCGATTCAGTATCTTTCAATTATATCAACGTCTCTCGTTCCTACATCGCCGCCTTCCTGAACCCCCTTCCTTCTCCAGTCACGGCCGTTGAGAACGCGCGACTGGCGCTGCAGCTGCTGCGGTCGTCGAGCGACTCGATAGATTTGATTCTGGCGGAGGTGGAGCTGCCGAACGGCAAGGGGTACAAGATGCTCAAGATCATCATGCGCGAGGAGCGCCTCAAAAACATTCCCATCGTCAGTACGTGCTCCGCTACCCACGCTCACGGATAGTCTCTCAGCTAGCGTCTGTCGGCTAACTTCGGTCTCCTAGCGTCTGTCATTTACCGTTCGTCGGCTAGCGTCGGTCGACGCACTGGTCGGCTATCGTCAGTCCGTTAACGTCGGTCGGCTAACGTCAGTCAGTTAACGTCATTCCGCTTTGTTCCTGCCTGGCATGCCTCCGTCGCTGCCGGCTGTCATCATCGCTGCCAGCTGTAAATCTTCTTTCCGGCTCGGTTCTCCGACGCGTTCTGCTCTTGGGCGGACCTTTCTCATACGCATCTTGTTTTTCCCTCTCCTTCCTTCTTCCTCCCCCCCTCTCTCTCTTTCCTCTCCTCTCCCCTCCCGCCCGCCCCTCTTATCTCGTGGCCCGTCTCCTTGCACGGCGCGCAGTGATGTCGACGCGCGACGAGATGGCGATCGTCGTCAAGTGTTTGCGCCTCGGAGCCGCGGACTTTCTCGTGAAGCCGCTGCGCACCAACGAGCTCCTCAACCTCTGGACGCACATGTGGCGCCGCCGCCGATCCGTGAGCACTCTCCGCCCTCTCCGCACTCTTCGCCCTCTCCGCACTCTCCGCACTCTTCGGTTTCCTCCCTCGACCCGCTCTGCCTTTCGACTGTTTCCACGCTTTTGTTCACTCGCAACGTTGACCTGTTATTTACTCGCGCCGTCGACTTGTTTACTCGCGCCGTTGAATTCTTGCTCACTCGCGTCGCTGACTTTCTGTTCGCGGTCCCTCGCAAGTCCCGCCCTGTACTCATCTGGCCAATCCGCTTCCCCTCGTGCGCGCAGGTGGGGTTGGGGGAGGCTCCGCGGAGCATGATGGCGGTGAGCGCAAGCGAGGTGGCGCACGACCTGGTGTTCGTGGATACGAGCGAGTCGAACACGGGCACCGGCAGCACGGACCTGTTTTCTGAAGAGACGGACGATAAGCGCCGCAGCAGCGTGCAGCAACAGCACCTGCAGCAGCAGCTTCAGGAGCAGCAGGAGCAGCAGCAGCAGTTGCATGAGCTGGAGCAGCAGCAGGAGCAGGTGCAGGCGCAGAGGCGGCAGCAGCTTGTGCGGCAGGAGCAACAGAAGGAGCAGAAGGAGCACAGGGAGCAGGAGCTGCTGCGGAAGGAAAAGAAGGAGGTTGTGAAAGTGGTGGGGGAGCAGGGGGGAGAGGGGAAAGAGATGGGGGAGGAAGACGAGGTGGCGGAGGGGGAGGGGGAGGGGGAGGAAGTGGAGATGATATTGGAGCGGCAGGAGAGAGAGCAGGCGGAGGCGGAGGAGGGTGGGCAGCAGCGATGCGAGCTCATGCTGCTGGAGACGCGAGACGCTCCCGGAGCGGGAGAAGCGGGAGGGGAGAAAGGGGAAGAGAGGGAAGAGAGCGACGCGGATGAGCAGCCGTTCAAGCGGCGACACGTGGCGGCGCAGCGAGAGCGGGGCGCGGCGGGAGGAGCCTGCGGAGTGGCGCACGGTGGAGCGCAGGAGAGGAGGAGCAAGCTCGGCGCGCAGGACAGGGCGGAGCGGGAGGAGGTTGAGGGCCAGCCGCAGGTAAGCGCGCGCCCGCTTCTCCGCCGTTCACCCCGGCCCTCTATAGGCGGGTCTTTCCCTCCGCCCTCCTCGACCTCTTCAATTCCTTATATCGTCCCAACCCGCTTCTCCCTCCCCTCCCCTCCCCTTCCCCTTCTCTCCGCCATCTCCGCTGCTCTTTTCGTCCTTCCTGCTAGACGTCACCGCTCCTCTTTTCGGCCTTGTCACTTCCCCTCATTCTCATCCTTCCCTTCTCTCTCTTTGTCGTTTTCGCACCCTCTCCAACAGCCAATGCCTGCGCTCGAGCTCTCGCTCATGCTGCCACGTGTCGCGTTGCCGTTGGACGTACAATTTGCGTCCGAGCGTCGTCTGCCGCCCGACCGAGCCGCGCTTGAGACCTCACGCCCTTCCATGCCCCCCGCAATGGCCGCCACTCTCCTCGCGCTCTGCACCTCCGCGGTGGCCGCCGTCGCATCTGCGCCTCCGCGCGACACACGCGCCGCCGCAGTTGCAGCTACAACAACCAATGATGTTGCACGAGCTGGCGATGCCGGTGCCGCGAGTGCAGCAGCAACAGCAGCAGCAGCAGCCCTCTCCTTATCTTCCGCCATTCCCGCCACCGCGCACCCTTTCCCCCCACCGCCCCACCAAATGATGCTGCGCCGAGCAGCCTCCCACGAACCCACCTCCGCGCCTCTCTTTTCCTCCGCCCGCCCTCCCTCCTCCCCCACCCGCGCATCTGCGCTCCAGCCCTCCCCGCCCCTCCACACCTCCCGCGTGCTCCCCACGCGCGCCTCCCCCCAGCCGCCTGGCTCCGCGGCTGTTGCCACTCTGCTCCCGCCCTCCAGTCCCCTTCTGCCCTTCCGCCTCGCGCCCTCGCTCCCCTCTGCGCCGTCTGCGCCCTCTCTTCACTCCCCCGCGCACCTCGCGCTCCCCACGCGCACCATCAGTCAGCCCATCCTCCCCTCCGCTTCCACCGCCCGCCCTCCCGAACTCCGCCTGTCCGAAAGCCCGCCCGCTCCTGCCCCCGCGCCTGCGGCCGCGACTGCTACCACTGCTGCTGCGCGCGCCGCAACCGCCGCGCGCTCTGCGCTGAGTCGTTCAGCGAGCGCGGAGCAGGCCGCGGAGAGGAGCGCGGCGCAGGGCGCGGGGGACAAGCGCGTAGAGGATAAGCGCGCGGAACCCGCGCCCGCGACGGAGCTGCCGTTAGCCGGACGACGGGCGTCGCCCGTACGGCTGGTCCCGAAGGCGGGTGGTGCTGCTGGGTCTAATGCTGCTTCTGCTTTGAAACGGGGAGGTTGCGAGGCGATGGCAGGGCGGGGGAGGATGGCGGGGAGTGACGTGAAGAAGCAACAACACAGCAGCAGCAACAGCAACAGCAGCAGCAGCAGCAGCAGCAGCAGCAGCAGCAGCAGCAGCAGCTGCAGCAGCAGGGCGAGGCAGCAGCAAGAAAAAGTGTCGCAACCGCGAGGCGGGGCGGGGGCAGTCCCCCATCCCCCGCCGCCAGCGCCACACCTCCGCGGACGGCCTCACGAGCAGCTGCGCGCGCGCCTGCAAGCCCTGCGGGGATGCACCCGCGCCCTGCTGCTGGGCTAGTGTGGCGGGGGAAGGGGTAAAGGCGCGGAACTGGCGGGGGCTTCACTGGGAGGGAAGGCAGGGCAGGCCGAGATGGAACGCAGGGGGCGCACAGCATGGCTCACAGCATGGCGCAGAGCATGGCACATGGCACAGGCAACGGCACGGCTAGGGATGGCGGGGCGCAGAGGTGAATGTGAGTGGCGGCAGCAGCGGCAGCCTTGTAGCTGGGCACAGCGCTGCCTTCTGGAACCATATGATTGATCGCAGTGGCCTCCGGGGGTACCTCCCCCACTCCCTCCCCCACTCCCCGACCGCCATGCCTGCTCCTGCTCCGAGCCTCCGTGCCGGATCGCCGAACCTGCCCGCCGGCCTGCGTGGCGGCTCGGCAGCTTGGCGGGTTACAAGAGGCAGCTGTCCGGGGCAGCACGCGTGGAGCATGGGTCAGGGCGTGGGACTGGGCAGGGGTTCGGGCCAGGTGTTAAGTCGCCCTCCCCTGCTCCCTCTCCTGCTGCCACGCCCTCTGCTGCGTCTGCTCCCTGTCCTCCATCTGCTGCTGCCAGCGCTGCTGCTGCCTCCTCTGCTACTGCCGCTGCAGCTACGGCCGCTGCAGCAGCTGCTGCTACTGCCGCAGCGCAACGCCAGGCAGCGCCTGCCTTCCCGCGGCCCACCGTGCTGCCACCGGCGTCGCTACGGGATCACTCTCCGTACCCACCTGCTCACCACGCCCACACGCACTCCTCGTCGGACGTCTTTTCTGCCCAGCACGCTACTCCCTCCCACGCTACTCCCGATCGCTGCTTCCCCACTCAGCAGATGCAGCAACAGCAGCAACAACAGCAACAGCAGCAACAGCAGCAACAGCACCAACAGCAGCAACAGCAGCAGCAGCAGCAGCAGCAGCAGCAGCAGCAGCAGCAGCAGCAGCAGCAGCAGCAGCAGCAGCAGCAGCAGCAGCAGCAGCAGCAGCAGCAGCAGCAGCAGCAGCAGCAGCAGCAGCAGCAGCAGCAGCAGCAGCAGCAGCAGCAGCAGCAGCAGCAGCAGCAGCAGCAGCAGCAGCAGCAGCAGCAGCAGCAGCAACAGCACCAACAGCACCAACAGCAGCAGCAGCAGCAGCAGCAGCAGCCTGATTTCCACTCGCCTCCCTCCGTGCCTGCTCTCTCTCTTCCCTCCAACCTCGCGGTAGCTGCGGCTGCTGCTGCCGCCGCTGCTGCTGCATCGGGCCTTCCACCACAACATCCCATCGTGCAATCACTAGCAGCCGCTGCTGCTGGCAATGCCATGCAGCAAATGCAGCAGCAGCAGCAGCTGCAACAACAGCAGCAGACCCAGCAGCAACAGCAGCAGTATCGGCCGTCCCACCATTCGCATGCTCTAGCAGCAGCAGCAGCAACGTTCGCCCATCTCCCTCCTGATGCAGCAGCAGCAGCCGCCGCAGCCTTCTCTCGCCTCCCCCCCGAAGCCCTTGCAGCCGCAGCCGCAGCAGCTGCTGCATCATCCAACAACGCACACACTACCCTCCCTCTCCCTTCCTCCCTCCCTCCTACAAACCCTTTCTCTTTCCTCTCGTCCCTCGCTGCTGCTCCAGCCATACCTCCCTCCCCGCCCTTTTCCGGGAATGACAGCAGCGGCACAGTTTCTAGCACCGGGAGCAGCAGCCGCTGCAGCTGCAGCGGCAGCAGCGGCAGGGGGGAGTGGCCATGGGTGCATACAACCCAACGATTGCCTTTCCCTTCATGGCCTGACCCATCTGCTGCTGCCATGCTTTTCAATCCAGCTTCTGCTGCTGACGCTGCTGCTGGGGGGGGCAGCAGGCGGAATGGGTGGAATGGGAGGAGCAGGAGGGGATGGAGGTTTGGGAGGAATGGGAGGGATGGGGCATTGGGGGGAATGGGGGGAATGGGGCCAATGGGAGGGATGGGAGGAATGGGGGGAGGGGTGGTGGGTGCAGTGGGAGGGGGAGGGGCCAAGTGCAGGAGGGGATGGGTTGATGGAGAGGCGGGTGGAGGGATACCAGCGTCGGGAGGCAGCTCTGAACAAATTCAGGCAGAAGCGCAAGGATCGGTGTTTTGAGAAAAAGATTCGGTACGTGAGCAGAAAGCGACTTGCGGAGATGCGACCACGGGTGAAGGGGCAGTTTGTGCGGAAGAAGACAGCGGGGAAAGGGCATGGCGGGCAGCAGGAGAGCGAGGAGGAGGACGAGGAGGAGGAGGAGGAGGATGAGGAAGAGGAGGAGGGAGGCAACGAGTAGCCCTATTGTGCTGGTTGCGGCACCAGCAGCACACGGTCAGCTGCATGCTGCCTTGGAGTGTGTGCTCCTGTGCTCATGTGCTTTGCCGCACACCGCACCACTCGTGTCTCCATACCTCCCCATACCCGCCATTTCATTCCTGTTCTGTTACATCCTCTCCCTCTTACCACCTATCTTCTGCACTCATCCCCTCCCCAGTCCTTGCTATTTTCTACCTGTTTTTCACTCGCTCACACCCTGCCACCAGTGCACTGGTGTACCTGACTTGTGTTGTTGTGCTTGCACGAGTTGCTCTCATAGCTTTACTCCACGGTTGCTCCGAGGCCGTGTAGCAAATAACATCTAGCATAACTTAACATCCTTATTTGTTTCTTTCTATGTGCTTTTTGCTAGGCATGTGACCCTTGAGTTGCTACTGGTTGACCGCCTTTGCGTACCTACTAATGTCCTGCAAGAAGTAAGATGAGTTGCATCTGCCGTATATACTGTAGGAGGCTTGATAGTGTTGCTTTTAGTAGCTTATGCACAAAAGTAAGCTCCTAAAGGCGTCAGAGTAGGCTCCTCCCCCCTCCCACTAAGTGTAGATTCTGTCTGGGAAAACAGGAACATAATTCCGTCTGGGGCCTAACAGTGATGGTGATTTATAATGGTGTATCGGGTGCCATTGTTTCGGTACAGACATGTTTCGGCAATTTTGTGTGTTCACAAACAAATATGAGACATGAAGCACTACATATTACATCACGGCGTTGTGTCAGAACCTTGCGCTTCTGACAGGCGATTCCCGCTCAAACGGCGGGGCTGCGGAACCGACATGCTGCGGAAATTCCAAGGATATCCTCGCAAAACTCAACTCAAATTTCGCGAGTCGTATGTTCTCCAAGCGAAGCGAGTATCCCCGTCAAACAACGCTTTCACGAAGATGTACATCCGCCGACGGTGCGGCGGCCTGCACCTGAGCAGGGGAAATGGATTCTTGTCGCCTCTGTGAACTCATTCACCACTCTGAATCCGTCTGGACCCTGAATTTCACCACTGAAGCCGACTGTTTTTTGACTGATGATTGCCTCTTTCTCTCTTCCTAATCCTTTTTCCACCTTCCCTGAATGCCATTCCTTGTCTTGCTCACAGCAGCTTGCTCACGGATTCCGTCAGTATAAGCTAGCTAAGCCGACGTCCATGGCTGCCGCTATTTGTTACACACCATTAATGGTTATCAATCATAGTCTTGCCCCTTGTACTCTTCAGATATGTTTATCTAAAGGTCGACAAGACGGAGATTACGAATCGTTGCAATCCATGGCTGTGTCTCCTGACGCGAACCAGTAGCCTTTTAACCTTAGTCGTAGCCATCGTTAAGAAGAAAACCGATCATTACGTGTGTTCTAGTCGGACAGAGATATTCCAAGCTTAGATGCTGTAGTCATTGGAGCAGTTTTATGTCCGTCATCGACGCATTACTCTCACTTGACTGCAGTTCTGATTTCTATTCCAGTATTTCGGAACAACTTAGACCGAGTATTCTAGACATCTGACGAGCGCGGAACAGAGGTTGTTGCTGAGATTTCTCATACATCTTCTTCCGATCTCCATGCGCTCCTTCAATTAGCGAAGCGTCGGCGCTCTCCAGCAGCGAGAAAGGTTCCATTTGGTGATGACCGAGGCTGATATCGTGCCGGCGACAGCTTTCCGAATGATCTTACGAGGCTAGCAATGAGCATCTCGGACGTCGAATAGCGAGACGTCGCTATCTAACGGTGGTGACTGAGACGATGCGTTTTAACGGTGGCGAACGACACGGCCACTTCCAACGGTGGTAGCTGAGACTGTCAAGTCACGGCCGCTTCTGACGGTGACGAAAAGTACTAGTGCCGACTCTGACGACGGAACCGACGATATCTAGCAGTGACGATTGAAGTGACACTTTCCCACGGTGACGATCGGAGCGACTCTTTCCGACGGTAACGACCAGGCTTGCGATTTCTCACAGTGACTATCAAAGCGATGCTTCTTCGACGGTGACGATTGAAGTGACAAGTTCCGACGGCGACGATCAGGATTGCGAACGTTGACGATCTAAGCGACGCTTTCTGACGGCGACGACGGAGATGGTGTCTTCGGACGGTGACGATCAACAGTGCGGCTTCTCACGGTGACGATCGAAGCGACGATTTTTGAAAAGGGACCGAGACTGCGGGTGTTGCTGCTGACATTTTCAAAGCGACGTGCGGAAAGCTACGTGCGGAAATCGACTTGCGGAAAGCGACGAGCGGAAAGCGACGTGCGAAAAGCGACGTGCGGAAAGCGACGTGCGGAAAGCGACGTGCGGAAAGCGCCTTGCGGAAAGCGACGTGCGGAAAGCGACGTGTGGAAGCGACGTGCGGAAAGCGACGTGCGGAAAGCGACGTGCGGAAAGCGACGTGCGGAAAGCGACGTGCGGAAAACGGCGTGCGGAAAACGAGGTGCGGAAAGGGACGAGCGGAAAGCGACGTGCGGAAAGCGACTTGCGGAAAGCTACGTGCAACTTCTGAATCCTGCTTAAGTTTCCTCCTCAACACTTGCACTCCTCTCTTGCCCCCACCCGCCCTTGTCGTTGCACCACTCTGTTGTGTTGCTGCATCCTGCGTTTCACGTCCCAAAGAAATGTGCTCCTGTGAGGCGCATGGCGGCGGTGGGTCCGGGCGCATTGGCAGCTGAGCTCATATAGAGTCCAGAGAGAGAGAGAGAGAGAGAGAGTGGGTGTAGCATAGAGTAGCAGTGCATTCATGCCATGCTCGCGTCTCTCTCTTCCCCAGTCCCCCCTCGCTGCCTTTGCTCGCTGCCGTGCTGCCCTTGGCCCCACCGTCTCCATGCGCCTTCCCCTCCCACCTCTCCCCGACCACTAACTTGCCGTTCCGCTCTGCTCACCATTCACTGCATGCATGCTTGCCGTTTTTTGTTGCATGCATGCTTGCCGTTTTTTGTTGCATGCATGCTTGCCGTTTTTTGTTGCATGCATGCTTGCCGTTTTATCCTTCTGCCACTTGCGTACCCCCTGCTTATGATATCACTTGTCGTCTCACCTCAACTCTCTGCTCCGTTAACGTGTGTCCCTCTTCTCCTCTCTTCCTGCCTGCATCCCTCTATCAGCGCACCTACAAGGCGGCAGGGCAGCAGCAGGGGGGCCAGGAGGAGCAGTGGGAGCAGCGTGGTGAGCGGGAGAGGCGAGCGGTGGGATGACGCACGGCCTGGGCTGGCCCTGCTGACCACTGCTGCCGAGTTGCTGGACTACTGCAGGGAGGGCTGCTGCTGGCCGTGTCAAGATCCCTCTGCTCCTCATGCGACTGCTCGTCACCCGGCTAAGAGTTCCTCATACCCTCTCTTCTTCCTGCTTCTTCTCCTTTCTTCTTTCGCTTATCGAATCTTGCCCGAAACAAAAACGTTGCTTTTGCTTGGGAGGGATTGAAAGTTGACTGAGGGATATGGGCGGTGTGTGGCGATGGTAGCACATGGCACTGGGGCGGCTTGAGCTCACACTAGAGTCCTAGAGGGTTAGAATGCACTCACACTCACGCCCGCATCTCCTCCCCCTTGCCTGCTAGCTCGCCAACCTAGTGCCATGAGCTACCATCGCCTACCCTTTCACTGTGCCACCTGTTGTTTAACTTCCAGCTTTTACTCTCTCACAGTATTATGCCTCCGTTTTGTTTTCCTGCCGTTATCCCTGCCGCTTTACAATTTCACAATCACGCCCATGCTTATGTTAGACTAACTTCTTCAATTCCTGCCCCCTTCTGCCTTCTCTCCTCTCTCCCACCCGCTCCCTTCCCTCTCCGAAACTTTCCCCCTCTCGCACAGGGCTGCGGCAGCGTGATGCGGGGAGGGAGGGCGGTGGGATGACGCACGGCAGGCAGTCACGGCGGCGTGCGTGCCTCCTGCATGCCCTGCTGACCACGTCGCTCCCTCACGCGCCCAGCGACCTTGAGTGCTGCTGCTGGGAGTGTTGCTGCCGGGAGTGTCGCTGCTGGGAGGGCTGCGGCTGGCATTGACAAGGCGACGAGCAGCTTCTGAATCCCGCTAAGTTCCCTCCTCAACCCTTGCCATCCTTACCGCCGCTTTACATTGTAATTCGTGTTCATATTTGCCCAGCCTCTCTTTTTAAGCATGCTTCGAACCAAAACGCCGCCTTCGCATGAAGGTATTAAAAACGTTTGCGTGTCCCACTTGCCTGCTAGCTCGCCAACCTAGTGCCATGAGCTACCATCGCCTACCCTTTCACAGTGCCACCTGTTGTTTAACTTCCAGCTTTTACTCTCACAGTAATATGCCTCCGTTTCGTTTCAATTGCGCCCATGCTTATATTAGACAAACTTTCTACAATTCCTGCCCCCTTCTGCCTTCTCTCCTCTCTCATACTCGCTCCCTTCCCTCTCCTAAGATTTTCCTCTCTCGCACAGGGCTGTGACAGCGTGGTGCGGAGAGGGAGGGCGGTGGGATGACGCACGGCAGGCAGTCACAGGGGTTTTTTTTAGCCTCCTGGAAGTCTGTCGCCACTGTCCTGCAAACAACCCCATACGACTAAGTTCCCTCTCCCTTCGCCCTTGCCATCCTTGCCGCTTCTGCTTCGTCTTTATGATTGCCCACTGTTGTACTGCATTCTTTCGTCACCGCATGCTCGAAACAAACGAGGTCACTTTCGAATGCGAGCGATCAAAAGTCGAGAGAGAGATGAGCGGCGTTTTGACGATGGTAGCGCATGGCACTATGGTGGCTTGAGCTCAAACTAGAGTCGTAGGGGGTAGAGTAGAATGCCCGCGCCCCTTCCTTACCTCGTCCCCTTGCCTGCTAGCTCGCCGCTCTAGTGTTGTGTGCTACCATCGCCTGCCCTTTCAAATCGTCACAGTGCCACGTGCTTTTTATCTATAACTGTTGTCGCCCGACCATGCGCCCGACCATGCGCCCCGACCATGCGCCCGACCATGCGCCCGACCATGCGCCTGCCCATGCGCCCGCCCATGCGCCCGACCATGCGCCCGCCCATGCGACCACCCTTGCGCCCACCCATGCGCGCACCCATGCGCCCACCCATGCGCCCACCCATGCGGCCACGCGACCACCCATGCGCCCACCCATGCGTCCACCCATGCGCCGGCCCACCATGCGGCCACCCATGCGCCCACCCATGCGGCCACCCGTGCGACCACCCATGCGCCCACCCATGCGTCCACCCATGCGCCGGCCCACCATGCGCCCACCCATGCGCCCACCCATGCGCCCACCCATGCGCCCACCCATGCGTCCACCCATGCGCCGGCCCACCATGCGCCCACCCATGCGCCCACCCATGCGGCCACCCATGCGGCCACCCATGCGCCCACCCATGCCCCCACCCATGCCCCCACACATGCGCCCACCCATGCGGCCACCCATGCGACCACCCATGCACCCACCCATGCGCCCACCCATGCGCCTGCCCACCCATGTGCCCGACCATGCGCCCACCCATGCGCCCACCCATGCGGCCACCCATGCGACCACCCATGCGCCCACCCATGCGCCCACCCATGCGCTCGCCCACCATGCGCCCACCCATGCGCCCACCCAGCCCTCCTCCCCCACTCGCTTCCTCCACTCCCCACGCTTCATCCTTTAAAGGACCATCCAGCCCTCCTCTCCCATCTCGCTTCCTCCACTCCCCTCGCTTCCTCCTCCCAAGGGCCATCCAGCCCTCCTCTCCCACCTCGCTTCCTCCACTCCCCACGCTTCCTCCTCCTAAGGGCCATTCAGCCCTCTTCTCCCGCCTCGCTTCCTCTACTCCCCTCGCTTCCTCCTCCTAAGGGCCATCCAGCCCTCCTCTCCCCCCTCGCTTCCTCCATTTCCCCTCACTTCCTCCTCCTAAGGGCCATCCAGCCCTCCTCTCCCACCTCGCTTCCTCCACTCCCCACGCTTCCGCATCCTAAGGGCCATCCAGCCCTCCACGCCTCTGTGATGTGAGGCGGGCGCCACTCCTCTGTGGTGTGAGGCGGGCGCCACTCCTCTGTGATGTGAGGCGGGCGCCACTCCTCTGTCGTGTGAGGCGGGCGCCACTCCTCTGTGATGTGAGGCGGGCGCCACTCCTCTGTGATGTGAGGCGGGCGCCACTCCTCTGTGGTGTGAGGCGGGCGCCACTCCTCTGTGATGTGAGGCGGGCGCCACTCCTCTGTGGTGTGAGGCGGGCGCCCACTCCTCTGTGATGTGAGGCGGGCGCCACTCCTCTGTGGTGTGAGGCGGGCGCCACTCCTCTGTGATGTGAGGCGGGCGCCACTCCTCTGTGATGTGAGGCGGGCGCCACTCCTCTGTGGTGTGAGGCGGGCGCCACTCCTCTGTGATGTGAGGCGGGCGCCACTCCTATGTGATGTGAGGCGGGCGCCACTCCTCTGTGATGTGAGGCGGGCGCCACTCCTCTGTGGTGTGAGGGGGGCGCCACTCCTCTGTGATGTGAGGCGGGCGCCACTCCTCTGTGATGTGAGGCGGGCGCCACTCCTCTGTGATGTGAGGCGGGCGCCACTCCTCTGTGATGTGAGGCAGGCGCCACTCCTCTGTGGTGTGAGGCGGGCGCCACTCCTCTGTGGTGTGAGGCGGGCGCCACTCCTCTGTGATGTGAGGCGGGCGCCACTCCTCTGTGATGTGAGGCGGGCGCCACTCCTCTGTGATGTGAGGCGGGCGCCACTCCTCTGTGATGTGAGGCGGGCGCCACTCCTCTGTGATGTGAGGCGGGCGCCACTCCTCTGTGATGTGAGGCGGGCGCCACTCCTCTGTGATGTGAGGCGGGCGCCACTCCTCTGTGATGTGAGGCGGGCGCCACTCCTCTGTGATGTGAGGCGGGCGCCACTCCTCTGTGATGTGAGGCAGGCGCCACTCCTCTGTGGTGTGAGGCGGGCGCCACTCCTCTGTGGTGTGAGGCGGACGCCACTCCTCTGTGGTGTGAGGCGGGCGCCACTCCTCTGTGGTGTGAGGCGGGCGCCACTCCTCTGTGATGTGAGGCGGGCGCCACTCCCCTGTGATGTGAGGCGGGCGCCACTCCTCTGTGATGTGAGGCAGGCGCCACTCCTCTGTGGTGTGAGGCGGGCGCCACTCCTCTGTGGTGTGAGGCGGGTGCCACTCCTCTGTGATGTGAGGCGGGCGCCACTCCTCTGTGGTGTGAGGCGGGCGCCACTCCTCTGTGATGTGAGGCGGGCGCCACTCCTCTGTGGTGTGAGGCGGGCGCCACTCCTCTGTGGTGTGAGGCGGGCGCCACTCCTCTGTGATGTGAGGCGGGCGCCACTCCTCTGTGGTGTGAGGCGGGCGCCACTCCTCTGTGATGTGAGGCGGGCGCCACTCCTCTGATGTGAGGCGGGCGCCACTCCTCTGTGGTGTGAGGCGGGCGCCACTCCTCTGTGGTGTGAGGCGGGCGCCACTTCCTCTGTGATGTGAGGCGGGCGCCACTCCTCTGTGATGTGAGGCGGGCGCCACTCCTCTGTGGTGTGAGGCGGGCGCCACTCCTCTGTGGTGTGGGGCGGGCGCCACTCCTCTGTGATGTGAGGCGGGCGCCACTCCTCTGTGGTGTGAGGCGGGCGCCACTCCTCTGTGATGTGAGGCGGGCGCCACTCCTCTGTGATGTGAGGCGGGCGCCACTCCTCTGTGGTGTGAGGCGGGCGCCACTCCTCTGTGGTGTGGGGCGGGCGCCACTCCTCTGTGTTGTGAGGCGGGCGCCACTCCTCTGTGGTGTGAGGCGGGCGCCACTCCTCTGTGATGTGAGGCGGGCACCACTCCTCTGTGATGTGAGGCGGGCGCCACTCCTCTGTGGTGTGAGGCGGGCGCCACTCCTCTGTGGTGTGGGGCGGGCGCAACTCCTCTGTGTTGTGAGGCGGGCGCCACTCCTCTGTGATGTGAGGCGGGCGCCACTCCTCTGTGATGTGAGGCGGGCGCCACTCCTCTGTGGTGTGCTGCGGGCGCCACTCCTCTGTGGTGTGAGGCGGGCGCCACTCCTCTGTGGTGTGAGGCGGGCGCCACTCCTCTGTGGTGTGAGACGGGCGCCACTCCTCTGTGATGTGAGGCGGGCGCCACTCCCCTGTGATGTGAGGCGGGCGCCACTCCTCTGTGATGTGAGGCAGGCGCCACTCCTCTGTGGTGTGAGGCGGGCGCCACTCCTCTGTGGTGTGAGGCGGGTGCCACTCCTCTGTGATGTGAGGCGGGCGCCACTCCTCTGTGGTGTGAGGCGGGCGCCACTCCTCTGTGATGTGAGGCGGGCGCCACTCCTCTGTGGTGTGAGGCGGGCGCCACTCCTCTGTGGTGTGAGGCGGGCGCCACTCCTCTGTGATGTGAGGCGGGCGCCACTCCTCTGTGGTGTGAGGCGGGCGCCACTCCTCTGTGATGTGAGGCGGGCGCCACTCCTCTGATGTGAGGCGGGCGCCACTCCTCTGTGGTGTGAGGCGGGCGCCACTCCTCTGTGGTGTGAGGCGGGCGCCACTCCTCTGTGGTGTGAGGCGGGCGCCACTCCTCTGTGATGTGAGGCGGGCACCACTCCTCTGTGATGTGAGGCGGGCGCCACTCCTCTGTGGTGTGAGGCGGGCGCCACTCCTCTGTGGTGTGGGGCGGGCGCCACTCCTCTGTGGTGTGAGGCGGGCGCCACTCCTCTGTGGTGTGAGGCGGGCGCCACTCCTCTGTGATGTGAGGCGGGCGCCACTCCTCTGTGATGTGAGGCGGGCGCCACTCCTCTGTGATGTGAGGCGGGCGCCACTCCTCTGTGGTGTGAGGCGGGCGCCACTCCTCTGTGATGTGAGGCGGGCGCCACTCCTCTGTGATGTGAGGCGGGCGCCACTCCTCTGTGGTGTGAGGCGGGCGCCACTCCTCTGTGATGTGAGGCGGGCGCCACTCCTCTGTGATGTGAGGCGGGCGCCACTCCTCTGTGGTGTGAGGCGGGCGCCACTCCTCTGTGATGTGAGGCGGGCGCCACTCCTCTGTGATGTGAGGCGGGCGCCACACCTCTGTGGTGTGAGGCGGGCGCCACTCCTCTGTGGTGTGGGGCGGGCGCCACTCCTCTGTGATGTGAGGCGGGCGCCACTCCTCTGTGGTGTGAGGCGGGCGCCACTCCTCTGTGGTGTGAGGCGGGCGCCACTCCTCTGTGATGTGAGGCGGGCGCCACTCCTCTGTGATGTGAGGCGGGCGCCACTCCTCTGTGGTGTGAGGCGGGCGCCACTCCTCTGTGATGTGAGGCGGGCGCCACTCCTCTGTGGTGTGAGGCGGGCGCCACTCCTCTGTGGTGTGGGGCGGGCGCCACTCCTCTGTGATGTGAGGCGGGCGCCACTCCTCTGTGGTGTGAGGCGGGCGCCACTCCTCTGTGATGTGAGGCGGGCGCCACTCCTCTGTGGTGTGAGGCGGGCGCCACTCCTCTGTGGTGTGGGGCGGGCGCCACTCCTCTGTGATGTGAGGCGGGCGCCACTCCTCTGTGGTGTGAGGCGGGCGCCACTCCTCCTGTGGTGTGAGGCGGGCGCCACTCCTCTGTGATGTGAGGCGGGCGCCACTCCTCTGTGGTGTGAGGCGGGCGCCACTCCTCTGTGGTGTGAGGCGGGCGCCACTCCTCTGTGATGTGAGGCGGGCGCCACTCCTCTGTGGTGTGGGGCGGGCGCCACTCCTCTGTGTTGTGAGGCGGGCGCCACTCCTCTGTGGTGTGAGGCGGGCGCCACTCCTCTGTGATGTGAGGCGGGCACCACTCCTCTGTGATGTGAGGCGGGCGCCACTCCTCTGTGGTGTGAGGCGGGCGCCACTCCTCTGTGGTGTGGGGCGGGCGCCACTCCTCTGTGTTGTGAGGCGGGCGCCACTCCTCTGTGGTGTGAGGCGGGCGCCACTCCTCTGTGATGTGAGGCGGGCGCCACTCCTCTGTGATGTGAGGCGGGCGCCACTCCTCTGTGATGTGCTGCGGGCGCCACTCCTCTGTGATGTGAGGCGGGCGCCACTCCTCTGTGGTGTGCTGCGGGCGCCACTCCTCTGTGATGTGAGGCGGGCGCCACTCCTCTGTGGTGTGCTGCGGGCGCCACTCCTCTGTGATGTGAGGCGGGCGCCACTCCTCTGTGATGTGAGGCGGGCGCCACTCCTCTGTGATGTGAGGCGGGCGCCACTCCTCTGTGATGTGAGGCGGGCGCCACTCCTCTGTGGTGTGAGGCGGGCGCCACTCCTCTGTGATGTGAGGCGGGCGCCACTCCTCTGTGATGTGAGGCGGGCGCCACACCTCTGTGGTGTGAGGCGGGCGCCACTCCTCTGTGGTGTGGGGCGGGCGCCACTCCTCTGTGATGTGAGGCGGGCGCCACTCCTCTGTGGTGTGAGGCGGGCGCCACTCCTCTGTGGTGTGAGGCGGGCGCCACTCCTCTGTGATGTGAGGCGGGCGCCACTCCTCTGTGATGTGAGGCGGGCGCCACTCCTCTGTGGTGTGGGGCGGGCGCCACTCCTCTGTGTTGTGAGGCGGGCGCCACTCCTCTGTGGTGTGAGGCGGGCGCCACTCCTCTGTGGTGTGGGGCGGGCGCCACTCCTCTGTGATGTGAGGCGGGCGCCACTCCTCTGTGGTGTGAGGCGGGCGCCACTCCTCTGTGATGTGAGGCGGGCGCCACTCCTCTGTGGTGTGAGGCGGGCGCCACTCCTCTGTGGTGTGGGGCGGGCGCCACTCCTCTGTGATGTGAGGCGGGCGCCACTCCTCTGTGGTGTGAGGCGGGCGCCACTCCTCTGTGGTGTGAGGCGGGCGCCACTCCTCTGTGATGTGAGGCGGGCGCCACTCCTCTGTGGTGTGAGGCGGGCGCCACTCCTCTGTGGTGTGAGGCGGGCGCCACTCCTCTGTGATGTGAGGCGGGCGCCACTCCTCTGTGATGTGAGGCGGGCGCCACTCCTCTGTGGTGTGAGGCGGGCGCCACTCCTCTGTGGTGTGAGGCGGGCGCCACTCCTCTGTGGTGTGGGGCGGGCGCCACTCCTCTGTGATGTGAGGCGGGCGTCTCTACTCTGTGATGTGAGGCGGGCGCCACTCCTCTGTGATGTGAGGCGGGCGCCACTCCTCTGTGGTCTGAGGCGGGCGCCACTCCTCTGTGGTGTGAGGCGGCCGCCACTCCTCTGTGGTGTGAGGCGGGCGCCACTCCTCTGTGATGTGAGGCGGGCGCCACTCCTCTGTGGTGTGGGGCGGGCGCCACTCCTCTGTGATGTGAGGCGGGCGCCACTCCTCTGTGGTGTGAGGCGGGCGCCACTCCTCTGTGATGTGAGGTGGGCGCCACTCCTCTGTGGTGTGAGGCGGGCGCCACTCCTCTGTGGTGTGAGGCGGGCGCCACTCCTCTGTGATGTGAGGCGGGCGCCACTCCTCTGATGTGAGGCGGGCGCCACTCCTCTGTGGTGTGAGGCGGGCGCCACTCCTCTGTGGTGTGAGGCGGGCGCCACTCCTCTGTGGTGTGAGGCGGGCGCCACTCCTCTGTGATGTGAGGCGGGCACCACTCCTCTGTGATGTGAGGCGGGCGCCACTCCTCTGTGGTGTGAGGCGGGCGCCACTCCTCTGTGGTGTGGGGCGGGCGCCACTCCTCTGTGGTGTGAGGCGGGCGCCACTCCTCTGTGGTGTGAGGCGGGCGCCACTCCTCTGTGATGTGAGGCGGGCGCCACTCCTCTGTGATGTGAGGCGGGCGCCACTCCTCTGTGATGTGAGGCGGGCGCCACTCCTCTGTGGTGTGAGGCGGGCGCCACTCCTCTGTGATGTGAGGCGGGCGCCACTCCTCTGTGATGTGAGGCGGGCGCCACTCCTCTGTGGTGTGAGGCGGGCGCCACTCCTCTGTGATGTGAGGCGGGCGCCACTCCTCTGTGATGTGAGGCGGGCGCCACTCCTCTGTGGTGTGAGGCGGGCGCCACTCCTCTGTGATGTGAGGCGGGCGCCACTCCTCTGTGATGTGAGGCGGGCGCCACACCTCTGTGGTGTGAGGCGGGCGCCACTCCTCTGTGGTGTGGGGCGGGCGCCACTCCTCTGTGATGTGAGGCGGGCGCCACTCCTCTGTGGTGTGAGGCGGGCGCCACTCCTCTGTGGTGTGAGGCGGGCGCCACTCCTCTGTGATGTGAGGCGGGCGCCACTCCTCTGTGATGTGAGGCGGGCGCCACTCCTCTGTGGTGTGAGGCGGGCGCCACTCCTCTGTGATGTGAGGCGGGCGCCACTCCTCTGTGGTGTGAGGCGGGCGCCACTCCTCTGTGGTGTGGGGCGGGCGCCACTCCTCTGTGATGTGAGGCGGGCGCCACTCCTCTGTGGTGTGAGGCGGGCGCCACTCCTCTGTGATGTGAGGCGGGCGCCACTCCTCTGTGGTGTGAGGCGGGCGCCACTCCTCTGTGGTGTGGGGCGGGGCGCCACTCCTCTGTGATGTGAGGCGGGCGCCACTCCTCTGTGGTGTGAGGCGGGCGCCACTCCTCTGTGGTGTGAGGCGGGCGCCACTCCTCTGTGATGTGAGGCGGGCGCCACTCCTCTGTGGTGTGAGGCGGGCGCCACTCCTCTGTGGTGTGAGGCGGGCGCCACTCCTCTGTGATGTGAGGCGGGCGCCACTCCTCTGTGGTGTGGGGCGGGCGCCACTCCTCTGTGTTGTGAGGCGGGCGCCACTCCTCTGTGGTGTGAGGCGGGCGCCACTCCTCTGTGATGTGAGGCGGGCACCACTCCTCTGTGATGTGAGGCGGGCGCCACTCCTCTGTGGTGTGAGGCGGGCGCCACTCCTCTGTGGTGTGGGGCGGGCGCCACTCCTCTGTGTTGTGAGGCGGGCGCCACTCCTCTGTGGTGTGAGGCGGGCGCCACTCCTCTGTGATGTGAGGCGGGCGCCACTCCTCTGTGATGTGAGGCGGGCGCCACTCCTCTGTGATGTGCTGCGGGCGCCACTCCTCTGTGATGTGAGGCGGGCGCCACTCCTCTGTGGTGTGCTGCGGGCGCCACTCCTCTGTGATGTGAGGCGGGCGCCACTCCTCTGTGGTGTGCTGCGGGCGCCACTCCTCTGTGATGTGAGGCGGGCGCCACTCCTCTGTGATGTGAGGCGGGCGCCACTCCTCTGTGATGTGAGGCGGGCGCCACTCCTCTGTGATGTGAGGCGGGCGCCACTCCTCTGTGGTGTGAGGCGGGCGCCACTCCTCTGTGATGTGAGGCGGGCGCCACTCCTCTGTGATGTGAGGCGGGCGCCACACCTCTGTGGTGTGAGGCGGGCGCCACTCCTCTGTGGTGTGGGGCGGGCGCCACTCCTCTGTGATGTGAGGCGGGCGCCACTCCTCTGTGGTGTGAGGCGGGCGCCACTCCTCTGTGGTGTGAGGCGGGCGCCACTCCTCTGTGATGTGAGGCGGGCGCCACTCCTCTGTGATGTGAGGCGGGCGCCACTCCTCTGTGGTGTGGGGCGGGCGCCACTCCTCTGTGTTGTGAGGCGGGCGCCACTCCTCTGTGGTGTGAGGCGGGCGCCACTCCTCTGTGGTGTGGGGCGGGCGCCACTCCTCTGTGATGTGAGGCGGGCGCCACTCCTCTGTGGTGTGAGGCGGGCGCCACTCCTCTGTGATGTGAGGCGGGCGCCACTCCTCTGTGGTGTGAGGCGGGCGCCACTCCTCTGTGGTGTGGGGCGGGCGCCACTCCTCTGTGATGTGAGGCGGGCGCCACTCCTCTGTGGTGTGAGGCGGGCGCCACTCCTCTGTGGTGTGAGGCGGGCGCCACTCCTCTGTGATGTGAGGCGGGCGCCACTCCTCTGTGGTGTGAGGCGGGCGCCACTCCTCTGTGGTGTGAGGCGGGCGCCACTCCTCTGTGATGTGAGGCGGGCGCCACTCCTCTGTGATGTGAGGCGGGCGCCACTCCTCTGTGGTGTGAGGCGGGCGCCACTCCTCTGTGGTGTGAGGCGGGCGCCACTCCTCTGTGGTGTGGGGCGGGCGCCACTCCTCTGTGATGTGAGGCGGGCGTCTCTACTCTGTGATGTGAGGCGGGCGCCACTCCTCTGTGATGTGAGGCGGGCGCCACTCCTCTGTGGTGTGAGGCGGGCGCCACTCCTCTGTGGTGTGAGGCGGCCGCCACTCCTCTGTGGTGTGAGGCGGGCGCCACTCCTCTGTGATGTGAGGCGGGCGCCACTCCTCTGTGGTGTGGGGCGGGCGCCACTCCTCTGTGATGTGAGGCGGGCGCCACTCCTCTGTGGTGTGAGGCGGGCGCCACTCCTCTGTGATGTGAGGTGGGCGCCACTCCTCTGTGGTGTGAGGCGGGCGCCACTCCTCTGTGGTGTGAGGCGGGCGCCACTCCTCTGTGATGTGAGGCGGGCGCCACTCCTCTGTGATGTGAGGCGGGCGCCACTCCTCTGTGGTGTGAGGCGGGCGCCACTCCTCTGTGATGTGAGGCGGGCGCCACTCCTCTGTGGTGTGAGGCGGGCGCCACTCCTCTGTGGTGTGAGGCGGGCGCCACTCCTCTGTGATGTGAGGCGGGCGCCACTCCTCTGTGGTGTGAGGCGGGCGCCACTCCTCTGTGGTGTGAGGCGGGCGCCACTCCTCTGTGATGTGAGGCGGGCGCCACTCCTCTGTGGTGTGAGGCGGGCGCCACTCCTCTGTGATGTGAGGCGGGCGCCACTCCTCTGTGGTGTGAGGCGGGCGCCACTCCTCTGTGGTGTGAGGCGGGCGCCACTCCTCTGTGATGTGAGGCGGGCGCCACTCCTCTGTGGTGTGAGGCGGGCGCCACTCCTCTGTGGTGTGAGGCGGGCGCCACTCCTCTGTGGTCTGAGGCGGGCGCCACTCCTCTGTGATGTGAGGCGGGCGCCACTCCTCTGTGATGTGAGGCGGGCGCCACTCCTCTGTGATGTGAGGCGGGCGCCACTCCTCTGTGATGTGAGGCGGGCGCCACACCTCTGTGGTGTGAGGCGGGCGCCACTCCTCTGTGGTGTGGGGCGGGCGCCACTCCTCTGTGATGTGAGGCGGGCGCCACTCCTCTGTGGTGTGAGGCGGGCGCCACTCCTCTGTGGTGTGAGGCGGGCGCCACTCCTCTGTGATGTGAGGCGGGCGCCACTCCTCTGTGGTGTGAGGCGGGCGCCACTCCTCTGTGGTGTGAGGCGGGCGCCACTCCTCTGTGATGTGAGGCGGGCGCCACTCCTCTGTGATGTGAGGCGGGCGCCACTCCTCTGTGGTGTGAGGCGGGCGCCACTCCTCTGTGATGTGAGGCGGGCGTCTCTACTCTGTGATGTGAGGCGGGCGCCACTCCTCTGTGGTGTGAGGCGGGCGCCACTCCTCTGTGGTGTGAGGCGGGCGCCACTCCTCTGTGGTGTGAGGCGGGCGCCACTCCTCTGTGGTGTGAGGCGGGCGCCACTCCTCTGTGATGTGAGGCGGGCGCCACTCCTCTGTGGTGTGGGGCGGGCGCCACTCCTCTGTGATGTGAGGGGGGCGCCACTCCTTTGTGGTGTGAGGCGGGCGCCACTCCTCTGTGATGTGAGGCGGGCGCCACTCCTCTGTGGTGTGAGGCGGGCGCCACTCCTCTGTGGTGTGAGGCGGGCGCCACTCCTCTGTGGTGTGAGGCGGGCGCCACTCCTCTGTGATGTGAGGCGGGCGCCACTCCTCTGTGGTGTGAGTCGCGGGCGCCACTCCTCTGTGATGTGAGGCGGGCGCCACTCCTCTGTGGTGTGAGGCGGGCGCCACTCCTCTGTGGTGTGAGGCGGGCGCCACTCCTCTGTGATGTGAGGCGGGCGCCACTCCTCTGTGGTGTGAGGCGGGCGCCACTCCTCTGTGGTGTGAGGCGGGCGCCACTCCTCTGTGATGTGAGGCGGGCGCCACTCCTCTGTGGTGTGAGGCGGGCGCCACTCCTCTGTGATGTGAGGCGGGCGCCACTCCTCTGTGGTGTGAGGCGGGCGCCACTCCTCTGTGGTGTGAGGCGGGCGCCACTCCTCTGTGATGTGAGGCGGGCGCCACTCCTCTGTGGTGTGAGGCGGGCGCCACTCCTCTGTGGTGTGAGGCGGGCGCCACTCCTCTGTGGTCTGAGGCGGGCGCCACTCCTCTGTGATGTGAGGCGGGCGCCACTCCTCTGTGATGTGAGGCGGGCGCCACTCCTCTGTGATGTGAGGCGGGCGCCACTCCTCTGTGATGTGAGGCGGGCGCCACACCTCTGTGGTGTGAGGCGGGCGCCACTCCTCTGTGGTGTGGGGCGGGCGCCACTCCTCTGTGATGTGAGGCGGGCGCCACTCCTCTGTGATGTGAGGCGGGCGCCACTCCTCTGTGGTGTGAGGCGGGCGCCACTCCTCTGTGATGTGAGGCGGGCGCCACTCCTCTGTGGTGTGAGGCGGGCGCCACTCCTCTGTGGTGTGAGGCGGGCGCCACTCCTCTGTGATGTGAGGCGGGCGCCACTCCTCTGTGGTGTGAGGCGGGCGCCACTCCTCTGTGGTGTGGGGCGGGCGCCACTCCTCTGTGATGTGAGGCGGGCGCCACTCCTCTGTGGTGTGAGGCGGGCGCCACTCCTCTGTGGTGTGAGGCGGGCGCCACTCCTCTGTGGTGTGAGGCGGGCGCCACTCCTCTGTGATGTGAGGCGGGCGCCACTCCTCTGTGATGTGAGGCGGGCGCCACTCCTCTGTGGTGTGAGGCGGGCGCCACTCCTCTGTGGTGTGAGGCGGGCGCCACTCCTCTGTGATGTGAGGCGGGCGCCACTCCTCTGTGGTGTGAGGCGGGCGCCACTCCTCTGTGATGTGAGGCGGGCGCCACTCCTCTGTGGTGTGAGGCGGGCGCCACTCCTCGGTGGTGTGAGGCGGGCGCCACTCCTCTGTGATGTGAGGCGGGCGCCACTCCTCTGTGATGTGAGGCGGGCGCCACTCCTCTGTGGTGTGAGGCGGGCGCCACTCCTCTGTGGTGTGAGGCGGGCGCCACTCCTCTGTGGTGTGAGGCGGGCGCCACTCCTCTGTGATGTGAGGCGGGCGCCACTCCTCTGTGGTGTGAGGCGGGCGCCACTCCTCTGTGGTGTGAGGCGGGCGCCACTCCTCTGTGGTGTGAGGCGGGCGCCACTCCTCTGTGATGTGAGGCGGGCGCCACTCCTCTGTGGTGTGAGGCGGGCGCCACTCCTCTGTGATGTGAGGCGGACGCCACTCCTCTGTGATGTGAGGCGGGCGCCACTCCTCTGTGATGTGAGGCGGACGCCACTCCTCTGTGGTGTGAGGCGGGCGCCACTCCTCTGTGGTGTGAGGCGGGCGCCACTCCTCTGTGATGTGAGGCGGGCGCCACTCCTCTGTGATGTGAGGCGGGCGCCACTCCTCTGTGGTGTGAGGCGGGCGCCACTCCTCTGTGATGTGAGGCGGGCGCCACTCCTCTGTGGTGTGAGGCGGGCGCCACTCCTCTGTGGTGTGAGGCGGGCGCCACTCCTCTGTGGTGTGAGGCGGGCGCCACTCCTCTGTGATGTGAGGCGGGTGCCACTCCTCTGTGGTGTGAGGCGGGCGCCACTCCTCTGTGGTGTGAGGCGGGCGCCACTCCTCTGTGGTGTGAGGCGGGCGCCACTCCTCTGTGGTGTGAGGCGGGCGCCACTCCTCTGTGGTGTGAGGCGGGCGCCACTCCTCTGTGATGTGAGGCGGGCGCCACTCCTCTGTGGTGTGAGGCGGGCGCCACTCCTCTGTGATGTGAGGCGGGCGCCACTCCTCTGTGGTGTGAGGCGGGCGCCACTCCTCTGTGGTGTGAGGCGGGCGCCACTCCTCTGTGGTGTGAGGCGGGCGCCACTCCTCTGTGGTGTGAGGCGGGCGCCACTCCTCTGTGATGTGAGGCGGGCGCCACTCCTCTGTGGTGTGAGGCGGGCTCCACTCCTCTGTGATGTGAGGCGGGCGCCACTCCTCTGTGGTGTGAGGCGGGCGCCACTCCTCTGTGATGTGAGGCGGGCGCCACTCCTCTGTGGTGTGAGGCGGGCGCCACTCCTCTGTGATGTGAGGCGGGCGCCACTCCTCTGTGATGTGAGGCGGGCGCCACTCCTCTGTGATGTGAGGCGGGCGCCACTCCTCTGTGATGTGAGGCGGGCGCCATGCACCCACCCATGCGACCAACCATGCGCCCACCTATGCGCCCACCAATGCGCCCACCCATGCACCCACCCATGCGCCCACCCATGCGCCCACCCATGCGCCCGCCCTTGCGCCCGACCAGAGCGATGAGCGAAGCAGAGGTACATGAACGGATATGAGGTTGAAGATTTGAGATGTGGTGAGTCGTCTCTGACAAATCCGCTTTCCTCGTATTCAAGGTGGCCTGCTCCTTTGATCCTCTACACATCGCTGCACGTTATGCTTCACTCTCACGTTTTTGTCAATCTCCTCTCCTTACCTTCGCTCTTCTATCTTCAGATGCCCTATTGCTCGGCTCTTTCTCTCCTCTTTGTTCACATGCCTTTTCCCCTCGCGTTTTCTGCTTCAGGTGTGGCTAGAGTAACATTTTGGTAGCAGCATTGGAGCACGAGGGTGCACAAGAATAGCACGTGCTTTGAGGCTTTTTCTAGTGGTGAGTTTCTGTACCCACCCTTTTCTCTTCCGCACCAATACCCCTTCCAACCCCACAGTTCCTGTCCTTTGCAGTCCTTTGCCTTCCGTGCCCATTTTTTTCTCTACCCAGCAACACAATTCCACTGTGGCTGATTGATTTTTGTATGGATCCATGAGCTTCATCCTTACCCTTCCACATGCTTCAAGGACCTTGCAATGTTTTCGTCGCCTCTCATGTGCCAACCTCTCTCTTCGCCTCTCATGTGACAATCTCTCTCTCGCTGCGTTTTGGGTGTGTTGTTGACATTACAGTGAGGCGGGGTGGAGAGTAAGCGCTGGAACGAACTGAAGAGTACGGTAGTAGAACTAATTGGAGCGGCCAGCTGGTGAAGACATCACCGTTGCATGTGAAGGTGAGGAAGTAACAACTAAACACAGACTGAACCCCAGAAACGTCATGTCATATCATACCATCATATCATCTACATTGTGCCCAAATCGAACAACACCCATCATTTCACAACAGGCTCAACTCTTGTCTTCTTGCAGGGCAACCAACGACGATCCTTTTGGAAGTGAAGATGGAGGATGAAGGCCACATATGCCAGAGCTGAAGAATATAGGAAATATGATCAGATAGGTTATCTAGGCTGGTAAAACTCTCAGGTGTGTTATCCCCCCCTCTCCCCCTTAACTCCCAAAGATCCCAACCACCACCACCCCCCCCCCCCCTCCTCCTTAATGTTTTTCCCCAGTCCCGCTCCCTCCCCTCCCCCTGCGTAGGACTCCCCCCCCCCCCCCCCCCCCCCCCACCTCCCCCCCGGATTGCTCCTTCGTTTTCCTCCCCCTGCAACCCGCCTCCTTTTGCGACCCACCTCCCTATGGGACCCACCTCAGCAACCCCCACGTAGGCCAGGCACAGGGCTAACCACGGGGCTAACCACGGGGCTAACCACAGGGCTAGTCACAGGGAAAAGCGCAGGGATAACCACAGGGGTAACTGCGGCGCCAACAACAGGGTTAGTCACAGGGCAAATCGCAGGTCTAACTACAGGGCTACCACAAAATTGATCACGAGGTTCATCACAGGGCTAACCACAGGGCTAACCACAGGGCTAACCACAGGGCTATCCACAATGTTAATCACAGAGTTTGCATGCTAATCACAGAGCTTGTGCCTTGACGCATGCTACTACCGCAGTAAGCCCTCTACGAGGACTGTTACCGTACTTGCCTTCCTGTGTACAGTGGACATTTTGCTGCTTCGCGTGTCCACATCATACCCGTACAAGCAAGCATGTGAATATACACACATATGGAATGACGCACCGCATGAGACCAGACCATGCTCCCAGTCACAGTTACATCACCACGTTTAGAGCATGTATCAGTAGTTACATAAGTTGGACTACGGTAACAACGAATATACAGGTAGCTGATGGACTTCAGCCAAGAACCACTTGATAGGTCTACACTATACTGGATGATCAACCATGCTAGCAGGGCAGCTCCAGCCTTGTCAGCCTCTACCGTATATCCCCTTGCCTGTGACCCCTTAGCCTGGGCCACACAATGAACACACTGATGTCATGACAGCAGCTGGAGCAGCTCACCAGGAGAGCTCTGCTTGCCGTGAACACCATCATGCACAGACAGGAAAGTGCTGCTGTGCTGCTGATGCATCCCCTCCTCAATCCCAGATCTGCAAAGAGACCGCCACGGGTTAGCTGCAGCACCTGGTGCGGGAAACGAGGCTGGTGGGTAGAAATCTGGCGCTTCTACTGTTGCATGTGAGTCGAGTGATTCCGATCCTGCTCTCACTCGTGCGGCGCTGCTTCCTCCCAGGTCTGTCCGGAGCTGCAGGTTCGGAGGGACGAATTGCGGCGAGTCTGAGGTTGGGGCATGCATGAGCTTTGGTCGTCTGGCCACAGGCGCCAGCAGCAGTGCACTGCTCTCTTCAGGGCCTCTGCTGCTCTTGGACCCGCTCAGCCCACTCGGTCTGCTCCCACTGACGCCACTAGCCATGGGGGACAGGCAGCTGGCAGGGCTCTCCGTGCGCTCTGGTGCCGCCCGCGCGCCGCCCGCTGCTGCTGCCGGTGCAGCTGGGGTTTTGTGGGTCTCCATTGCTGATGGAACAGCGGGTGGCGTGCATGGCCTTAGACGCTGCTGCTTCTCATTCTCTGATTGCTGCTGTTGCGCTTGCTGTTGCGCTTGCTGCTGCTGCTGCGATGCAGCGCTCAGTTGCTGCTGTTGATGTGATGGGGTTAAGTAAGCAGCAGCGGATGGAACACCACCAGTTGCTATCTGTCCCGAAGTAAACGGCACTTGCTGGCTTTGCGGGACCGCCACGTTTCCGAACGTCATTGGCTGGAAGCCAGTCACTGAAAACCCGGGAATCTGAGCTGGCGGTGGCGGCGTTGCAACCATCATCACTCCGCCTGGCGCCGCGCTGGGAAAGGTGGACGTTGGAGCGGTAGACCCATGGGCAGCCGGCCAATAGGAGATCATCTGACCGGACGCGACCATCGGCTGGCCGGCAGACATGACGGCAGAGCCAGCGGTCGGCAAGGAGACGGCGGCACTCGGCTGATACATGCCAGGTGTGGCGTACATGCTGTGTAAATGTACCATCTGCTGTTGCTGCTGCTGCTGTTGCTGCTGCTGCTGTTGCTGCTGTTGTTGCTGAAGCTGTGCATACTGCTGCTGCTGTTGCTGTTGCATCAGTTGCTGCGGAAGGTAGCTCCCCGCGAGACCGCCTACGAGCGGCCCACTCACGCCGCCTGCGGCGCCTGGTAAGGGGGGGAGCGCGGAGGCCGTCGCGGGCAACCCACCGCGTGGCCTCAGGACGCCCATTGCGCCGGGAAAGAACGGCGCGCCGGCGGGAAAAACGGACGGCGGGAACGACGAAGGTGCAGCGGAGTTTCCGACCATCATTACAGGCCCCGCTGACGTCATCACGGTGGGAGTAGGGAGCGCACAAGCGGCTACGATCGGCCGGACAGTGGGAGTGGGGACCTGGGGAGCAGGAGGATCAGTAGGGGAAGTGACGGCTGGAGCGGAAGTGTCAGATATCGGCTTTATCGACCCTCCGCGAAGCACGGCGTCGACCGCAGCCTCGCAGAAATGCCACTGGCCCGTCCAGAGCAGTCCCGAAGCGCCGTAAACGGGATTGATGGTGCGGCCGCACGCCTCGAAGAGCAGCGACTGGAAGAGCGCGGGCCGTTGGATCTCCTCGACCCCAGAGATGAAGCCCATTAGGCCCGCGCGGCCGTAGAACTTGGCGAGGAAGAGCGTCGCGTGGCCCTGCGCCTCCGCGCCGTCGATCCCCGCGAGGCAGTGGCGGATCACGCAGCTCTCGCTGCAGCCTTTTCGTAACACGCGACAACCGTTGCAGCTCATGGCGATTGCTCGACGAGACGTTGTTGAGAGATGCGCTGTTCTTGAGACGCTTGATCTGAACTACCAAACGAGACACTTTTGTTTTAACAGGTATCTCTGGAGCGCCAATTAACGATGTCCACCAGGAGCTGGTCCAAACATCTGGGTTATCTATTCCGGTCGTCCGATGAGCTTCGTTATTATGCCGTCGTCACCCTACAGTCCTTGGCATATAACGGAATGAGTGAGGGCGGAAGGAGGACGGGAGGTGGATCAGTTATAGTTGTGGTCGTAGGAACGAGAACAATGAAGCAACAGCAGCCTCACTGGAGGGGAACAACAAAGCGACTGGAAGCGGACTAATTGGAGCAGATCTCTGATCGCATTGTCGGGATTGTTGCCAAGCGCTTGCCTGCCTGTTTTCAGCCAAGGCGAGCCGCGTCACTTTCGTAGATCTCCCCAAGCAAGCCAACGAACAGCCTGTGAATGAAATGACGCGGTCCCTCAAGCTGATCGGATCAGGTTAGGAAGGTCCGCGCAGACGTGGCACAGGCTCTCTGCTTGGGCTTGTTGTGAAGCAAGGTTTCCTAAGCTGGTTGAAGTTTGTCGCTGCTCTTGCCAGGGCAGCTTGGATAAGATATTTGCTGTGCGCCAATTCAGAAGTCTGTGCCGAAGCGGAGCATCATCAATGTACGCACGAAGTGTTCTCTTTTGCTGGGAACGGAAACGTCAGCCTAACACAATTCCACGTCGAACAGCTGCTCTACTTACTCATATTAAAAGCTCACCACCGAGGCTCCCGATTCGCGGCGTCGCCCTCAGGGCTTTTACACCATCCAACACCACAGTTCAAGCATGCGTGCCTTATCCAGTGAGTCATTGATGACATGGATGACGCACGCAACGCGCTGTACTCTCCAGCGTTTTCGGAAACTGTATGGAATGCCACGATGCGATTGGAGAGCATCGCCGACCTTGCCATGTCACTCCCGTGGTTCGCTGATTGCTCAACTTTAATGGCGCGGACAGTGGAGGATGACAGGGCGCCCGCAAGAAGGTTGATGACAGGGCGCCCGCAAGAAGTTCGTGAATCGTCAGCAAAAACTACTGTACATAGTGTACTGAATTTTGTTCGGAACTTTGTGGCTTTCCTTTCCCAGCAACTGCATATTACACATGATGCCCGTTTGAGCCACTCCCAGTTGCCTTTTAAAATGAGCTTATAATATGCTGGAATTGGCATAAGCTTCGTCAATTCGCAGCTAGCTAAAAAGGATTCGCAGGTGCTTATAAAAAGGATTTTTAACGTATCTGTTGACATTTTTACTTGAGTCTCTTTAGTATGACTTCAGTCTGTTCGTTACTATTGGTTCATAACCACTGCAGCGCGACGTGCTTGTAACGTGAGTGCAACTGGCTGGAAAAAAACCTCCGGTGCAGGGTTTCTATACGGTTCAGAGAAAATCCGCGTGCACGGGGTGGGCATCATGTGTATTAGAGTGTAGTGTACATGGGCCCACGCTCAGTGGACTCGCGGTCAGCAATATGAAATTTTGCATGAGAAGTTGGAAGTTCCCGTGTGAAGTCGTTGCCATACTCGTTGGTTCTCCACTCCAGCCGCGCAGGGATGATAGCAACAAATCGGGATAAAGCATGTAGAGCCTTTTCCTGGATTCTGGGTCGTTCGCTTGAACGGGGGATATACGGCACATCGATATTGCATCACGTATGCTAGCCGTTGTACTAGTTGTTCAGCAGCGGTGTGAATGTACAGATATATAATAGCGTCTACTATCTACAAGAGGAATTGCTTGGCAAGAGATTGCCAATGAAAATTACTCTACAGTCCATATTTGTTACAACTTAATTGAATTCGGAAGAACTTGAGAAATAGGTTAAAAGTAGACCCCTAATAAAATACTGAAATACACGTTTCATGTGGTATCAAATTGGTTCCATCTTACTTCACTTTTCTGCACCTCTCTTGCCTCATACGTTTCGCAAAGCAACGTAATGTGCATCTTTGTTGCATGTAGTGAGCTGTTACGAGTGCAATTGAGTGAACGAACGAGAATTGCACTATCGAAGCAAGAGTACAATGAGCGAAGGCATGAGCGAAGAATATATAGCGAAACTACAGTGGTAACGGTAATGGTCTGTGGTAGTCGCGCGACGAGCCTGGGACTGAGGTTTGGGAAAGTGTCGAAGTGTAGGCCCGGAGCGCGGGGTACCAGCCGAGCCGTGAGGTCGGGATGCGATGTGCGAAAATGGCGGGATGATTATCGGTGCGATGGTCGCGAGTGGTAACGGTGCTGACTGAGGTGCTACAGTGATGTACGCGTCGAGCAGGGATGCGAAGTAAGGAAAAGGGAATTTCCTTACACTACCCCCCCCGTCCTAAGGAGGTCTTCCTTACGAAAGCGCGAGGACGTATTTGAAGTTTCGGCTGCGCAAGTAGTCGATGACGACAGGGTGGTTTTCAACTTTGTCCAGGGGAACCCAGTTGTCCTCGGTGGGTGTACGATCTTTCCAGCGGATCAGAAACTCAACTTTTCGGGCTCCTCGAGGGTCGCGAACTCTGTGGCTCAAGATTTTGTCGGGGGTGATGACTGGTTCGGTTGGTGGACGTGTCATGCTGGATGGCCGATGTCGATGGAGTTGGCTGGTGGATGGGACGTAAGGGCGAAGCAGACTGACGTGGAACGAGGGGCTGACATACCAGTCAGCGGGAAGGAGGAGGTGCGCGGTGACAGGTGTGATCATGTGACTGATTTGTAATGGCCCACAGTATCGAGGGCGGAGTTTGGGAGTGATGGGCAAGCGGAGGTTCTGAGTGTCGAGTAAAACGAGATCATCCGGCTGATAAGTGACGGGCCTGCGGTGGCGATCGGCGTTGCGTTTAGCGATGATATTGATTTTTTTATTGCTTCTGCTGCCCTGGTCCGTGCTCCTTGTAGGATCTCGGCGAACTGTTGTGCGCGGGGAACGGGATTGTTGGGATTCGGTGTCATGGGTACTGTTGGGTCCTGTCCGTAGTTCAAGTAAAATGGCGACTGTTGGGTCGTGGCGGATGGCGCGTTGTTGTATGCAAACTCGATGAGAGGCAGCTGCTGTTCCCACGTGTTTGGATCGTCGCACGTGGCTCAAATCAACTGCTCCATGGTCTGGTTTGTCCGTTCGGTCTGTCCGTCGGTTTCGGGGTGGTAGGATGAACTGAATTGAAGTCGCGTGCCAAACTGCTGCCATAGGTTCCGCCAGAAATTACTGGTAAACTTCGTGTCCCTGTCGCTGATGATCGACGCTGGTATCCCGTGCAGTCGAACGACGGTGGTGATGAAGAGTCGGGCTGTTTCCTCGGCTGTGATTGATTTCCTGCATGCTGCGAAATGTGCCATTTTCGTTAGTCGATCGACGACGACCAGGATCGCGTCATTCCCACTCGCCCCAGCCGGTAAACCCGTGACGAAGTCCATCGTCACCTGCTGCCAAGCACGCTCTGGGGGTGGGATTGGTTGCAATTGTCCCGCCGGCCGCTTCCTGCTTGACTTCATGAGCTGGCAAGTGGGACACGATGCCACGTGTCGTTGCACGTCGGTCAACATTTCCGGCCAGTAGTAGTACCGCTGCAGCTGCTGCCGTGTTTTTTCTACTCCGAAATGTCCCGAGGTAACTCCGTCGTGTGCTTCCTGTAACAGTAGTTCCCGTAGTAGCGTGTATCTTGGTACCCAGATGCGGTCGGTTCCAGCTTTTACGTAATAGACTCCATTGGCTGTTGCGAATTGCTGTGAATTTCCTCCTATGAAGAACGGGTCTGTTTGATATCCGTGGGTAAATAGTCCTGTTAGTAATGGGCTGGTCTGGGTGAGTAGTATCGCGTGGATTTGGGCAGTGGGGCGGGTCAGTGCGTCAGCGATATTCGAGGCTCCTTTTTTATATGTGACCGTATAGTGGAAATTCGACTTGAGGAAATCGAGCCACCGAATCTGTCGTGGGTTGAGGTGGGGTTGTGCGCGAAGGTACTGTAGGGATCGACGGTCTGTCCGTACTGTCACGTCTGCGCCGGTCAAGTAGCAGCGCCACACTTTGAATGCATGCACGATCGCAAGCATTTCGCGGTCGTGTATCGGGTAATTTCGCTCAGGTGGATGGAGCTTGCGTGATTCGTAAGCGATGGGTTGGAGGCCATTGCCAAAGTCCTGTAGCAGTATAGCTCCGATGGCGATGTCGCTCGCGTCGGTAACAACTTCGAAGGGGCGGTGTGGGTCAGCGATGCGTAGGACGGGTGGTGAACAGAGAACATTTTTTAGGGCAGAGAAGGCAGCATGCTCTTTCTCCCCCCACGTAAAAGGGACCCCCTTGCGCAGTAAATCAGTGAGTGGGGCTGTTAAGCGTGCCATGTCGGGGACGAACCGACGAACGTAATTAACAAACCCTAAAAAACTCTGCAGTTCCGTGATGTTCGTCGGGGGACGCCACGCTTTTACCGTATCCAGCTTCTTAGGGTCAATCTCAACCCCAGCCTCCGAAATGACGTGACCTAAAAACTCTAGTCTGTCCCGAAAAAACTCGCACTTGGAGCACTTGGTGAGTAACCGATGTGCCTCTAAAATTTTAAAAACTGCTTCGAGATCTACTAAGTGCTGCTGCTGGTCCCGACTGTAAACGAGGATGTCGTCGAGGTAAACTATGACGCACTTATCTAAAAGTGGCCTAAACGCCTCGTTCATGGTCATCTGAAATGTTGCAGGCGCGTTGGTCAGCCCGAAAGGCATCACCGTGTATTCGAATGACCCGTACCTAGTCCTAAATGCTGTCTTGGCGCAGTCCGATGGTTCGACCCGAATTTGATGGCAACCTCCCCGTAAGTCTATTTTCGAAAATACTCGTGCGGTTCGCAGCTGGTCGATCAGTTCGTCGGCGCGGGGGATGGGGTATCGTGATTTGACTGTTACCCTGTTAAGCGCTCGATAGTCGATGCACATTCGAAACCCTCCGTCTTTTTTCGGTGTGAACAGTATCGG